TGACGCCGTTAAGATTTGACTGTGGAGTCATTTTATTTTATTTTAAGTTATAATAATATTATTATAATTTAAAATATACAAAAAACTGGTGAACTGTAAGGTTATGGATAAAAACAAAACAAGGCGCTGGTAAATAACACACGGCACATACGGCGGATGTAAGTCTCGGATGAACTGGTTTACATAGTCGCCGACGTGTCTCACAGTGCAGCACCCCCTGACCTGTCCTATCTACCGACCGCCAGATAAGACAAACTTGTGTTATCATTAACACTAATGAGTGCGACGGTGGACAGCTGATAATCACGACCGAATAACGTGCTAGTTCACTGTAAATGAATAGTGCGCTATTACGGGCCGTGTCATACTATATGTTTAACTTCAGTTAAAAACACTTAATCAAGCGCGAATATTTTTCATAGAAAAAATGCCATACCTATAACCAATAGTTAGCGTGTAAAAATTTAATTAGTTCTATCCTTTTATTAGGATTTGTTTTTTTGATACTTTATGATAATATTTATTAATTAACGAAGATAGGATAAGAAATGAGCATATAAGAAGGATTGGTATAGGTGTAGTTATAGTTTGGTCATGTTATGAGGAGAGAAGAAGAGATGTTATTGAATGCGATATGAGAACAGCTGATTTGAGCGTAATTGATGTGGGAGATCGTGTCAAGTGGAAGTTTAGGATAAGGGTGGCCGACCCCAAGTAGTTGGGATTAAGGCAAGGAAGAAGAAAAATAAAATTATAATATTTATTAATAGGCCTCTAATTAAAGGGAAACGTATCTTCCAAAAATGTCAATATTAAATTATTACAATTTTTTTTTTTTTGTAAAAATTATGCAAAATTCAACAATGGTCAGAAATTATGCATTTTCACATTATCTCTTTAAAAAATTGCTTAGAAAACTAATTTTATTTCGTATTACGTTAAATAGACGCAATTACTAAGTGTTCTTAGGCGTTTAAAAACTGTCGAAAATAATATACAGAGTGATTTTTTTATCATAACCCACTCAATTACTTACAGAATAATAATAATTTAAACATTTTTTTTTATTATTATCTTTAGTTACACATTATTCTTGAATTATTAACTATGTAATACTTTTTAAGTTCATCCCTTATGCCTGGTAAGGGTGTCAACTTTGTTTTTTTAAATGGTAACTCATATTTTTAATTTAATAAAATGTTTGAGTTTTTAATTTAATAGTAAATGGCATTTGAATTTTTAATAAAACTTAATTTGTTTATTAGATATAAACATTTAAAGTTTCAAATTTTTGAGTTAATATATAGGTATAATACACAAGGGATTACAAATACAGGTAGCTAATTGGTTTTTTATGACATTGCTATCACAGTCACGAATTGTTTATTATCAATTATGACTATCAATAGATATACTTTTTGTATTTTCAGTTAGTGTATTTATAAACTCGCAACAATGTACCTTACTATCATTGATAATAACAATGCTGTGTACCTGCTAATATCGATGTTATAAAAAACCAATTAGCTACCTATATTTGTAATCCCTTGTGTATTATACCTGTATATTAATTCAAAAATTTGAAACTTTAAATGATTATATCTAATAAACGAATTAAGTTATATTAAAAATTCAAATGCCATTTACTATTAAATTAAAAACTCAAACATTTTATTAAATTAAAAATATGAGTTACCATTTAAAAAAACAAAGTTGACACCCTTACCAGGCATAAGGGATGAACTTAAAAAGTATTACATAGTTAATAATTCAAGAATAATGTGTAACTTAAGATAATAATAAAAAAAAATGTTTAAATTATTATTATTCTGTAAGTAATTGAGTGGGTTATGATAAAAAAATCACCCTGTATATTGCTGCACAAAAATATTTTTCGAATGGATGAAAAATTAATCTAGTATCTCAATTTTATTCTAGATACACCTACGCCATTCTATCTAAAATTTGGTGGTATATAAGGATATTAATATCCGATGACGTTGGTTAAATTAGAATCTTTTATTTGTTCAATTCAGCATTGAATTAACACTTTCAAATAGTCAGTATTCATTAATAGTGTTAAATCTATTTTTGTTAATGATTTAATGAAGTATTTTTAAGCTAACTAAAAAGTCACATTTTCTAAAACAAAAGAAATTGAAAAATAATTTTTTTGAACTTCTTTCCATTTAATCTAAAAACCCATTTAAAAATAAACTTTTATTTCTTAATCGAAGTTTAAAATACATTATATTTCCGTTAAACTCATCCGTCAAAAAGAAAAAACAATTTTTCAGATAGTGAAACTAATTACCCATATTTCTTTCGGGCTATAAATGCACTTAAATTAGAAAAAAACGTTATCAAATATTAAAATACCGGGTTCGATAAGAAAGACAACTAAGTCTTCCGCTAGTGCGAAAATAGTTCATTTTTATATTTAAATTATTCTATTGAATATTTACACTATGTACAGTCAGTTGTATTTTTGCAAAAAATCCTTTTATTTTATTTTAAAGTATACGCTAATTTACAGGCGTAAAACTTTCAATACAAATAGTTCCAAAATAATATTTTTCTATAGTACATGATAGTTAAAAAATATATTAGTAGTCTACGGCATATACTCGAATATACCCCTAAAACACGATTGTATACACAATAAGTAGTAAAATAATTGTGAATTATGAACCGTAAATTTATTTATACTTCTACTCTTCATTTTTCTTTTGTGATAACTATAGAATGTAGAAGTAAACAGATTTTCTGCTACCATCTCTTATACCTTAAACTCGTATCAACTTTCAATTTTCAAATGACAATTTTAATTTTTTTTTATTTCATCAATTATACAATAAAAAAAAAATTTTATTTGAAAAATCTTAATATTATTTGACTTTTAACGAGTTAAGGGAGAGAAGTGAATGGCAGTGCCCACCTAAGGAAAATATGCAGTAAAATGTATACCAGTAGAAATTAAATATTGACTCATCTAAAAAGAAAGATAAACTTGTCCATTACCAATACATTTATTAATTTTTATAAAAAATTTAAGGATTAGGTAAAATTTAATTTTTAATAAAAATTTATTATGCAAATCTTGGTATTTCCGCTCGTTATCTCAAAGTTTAGTAATATTAATAAAGAATAGCAAATTTGACTTTATAAAAATAAAAGTGTGATACACAGATAGGTTAATAATATTTTATTTATCATCTTGCTTCTTAATACTTCACTAAAAAACATATTATTTTTCAAAAATATAATCATTTAAACTAAAAAAAATATAAAATCTGTATTTATTTTAAGTAACATATTTTAGAACCAATTTATCACACAATAATTATACAAAATTTAGCGAATTCATTAAAAATGTAAGAAAAATAATATGAGAAATATTAAATAATAGTTAAAATGCCTAGTAGACGCCATTAAACAATTATAATTTTCTCGTGCTTAAATGTTTATAATTTTATAACCGATGGTTATAATAATTGAATTTCAACGAACAATTAAAATTACTTATATTATAGTTAAATATAATATCATTTGTAGCTTAAATTATCAAGTCGAGTAATTATATTCAAAATTAATTTGTATATTTAATTTTAATAATTAAGTGTAAATCCGTAAGTATGCATATGATAAAGTTCGAAAGAGTTATAGCATTTGTTAGTATTATAATATTTTATAAAATTAAATCTAACCCAGATATCAATGCCCACTTTAATCTAGAGCTATCTATAAAGTAAAACCATTTTTGTTAAAAAAAACAATGATTAGCTCTAATATTTTCGAAGATATTTCGTGAGTTGTAGTAAAAGACCCACACTGTTTTGTAACAAGTTTTCAAATATAAATTACTTGATTGTGACATTAAGATCAAACATTTTTTGACTGAAATTTAAAACCAAAAAGTATATTAAATTTAAAGAGAGCTTTAAATTACTACGAGTTTTCTGTAGACAATGGATTACTTTAGCAAATTCATATAGATGTTTTATTTTAAAAATGGTAGTTTATGAGAAATTGATGATGAAAAAAGTCCATCTAAACGCCTACATTCTTTATACCTACATAAAATTAAAGATAAAATTAAAAACTATCCGAATTCTTTATTCTAAGAGTTATCTGTCATTAAAACAAAAAATCATAAAATTTTCTAAAAATTACAAATATTTTTTATAGAAACGGATTTATAATATATAATTCTAATTTATTTCAAAGAGTAACTTATCCTCTGTGAGTAATCTACCTCCGAAGTCCAAAAAATAGTAATTTTTTGTGGATATGTTGAATACTTTTTTTAAATATATTTCAAATACGGTTAAAGTGTTTTACGACAGCGATTTTAATCTCTGTCAGATATCAATCAATACTAATCGAAAAATCTCCGCTTAACTGTTGATTACTTTTTTAATTATTTTTCCCTTATTAACCGTACTAAATCTTTTTTTACTAAAATTATAAAATATTTTCAAAAAAGCGGGTAAAACGTCCCATTATATCTCTCTCAAAATGATTCTCGATTCAAAGTTAAAATATTAGTATATCGTTTAACTATTTTTTTTTAAACTTGAAAAAGGTCAAAAAATATATATGAAAATATATAAATAAATATTAAAAAATATCTTGCATATTAGTTTAAATTTAGAATGTCTAGCTTAGGTTCATAAACATTTGACTAATGCTTTTTCAAATATAATTAAAAATAGTGATGACTTATTATATTTTAATGTTAATGTTAATACATTAAATTTTAAGTTATACAGGCTTTTTTGAGACATAAATCATGATTTAGAGACTAAAACAGAATATTCTAGGTATAAAAAATGATTTTACTTATTTGCATTTTTTTTAATAATACACCATAAAAATTAAGTAAATTTACAAATTTAATTTTGACAGATGGCAAATTATTATTTTTTGTACCTAAAAAAAGCCACCAATAGAAATATGAAAAAATTACTTTTGTTAAATAACATTATAAAATAGTAGATATAATTTTATTCTACTGTAGAAAAATAATCTGAAAAAATTGTAACTATTTGCAATACATTTTGAAACGATGTTTTCAAAAATTGTATTCGTATTCTTTGTAGCTTATTTTACCAGAAGAAATGTTGTTGCTAATGATACTCCTGATGAGGTAAATTTTAATTTTTAAAAATTTCTAATAATTAAATTCAATTTTAATAATATTGGTTTAACAAATTCATTCTTTATCATATTTAAACATTAGTAATCAATTTTACATTTAAAAACAGTAATACTTTTACTTTTAAGATATAAACATAATTAAAAATAAGTGAAATGAAATTTATAATAATTAAGACTTAATACAGTTTAAAATATGTCCTATCTAAAATTAATAACGACTCAATTGACAATTTTATAAGTATTTTAAATAAGTTATTTTTTGCCTTAATACATAATCAAAAACTAACATAATTACTGTTAAAAGAAAACTGCGTAAAACTCGAATTTCGTAAAAATTGTTGTTTTTTGTTGACTGTCTATAACAGTTGTATCTAAATCAAGTAAAACTAAGTTTCATGAATTTACGTATATTTTTCCGCTGAACGCAGTGATTTAATTATATTTTATCTATCTACATTATTTATTCTATTATTTATTATTGCAAAGAAAGAATTATAAAATAAGAGTTAAATAATAATACTAACTACCTTAGTTTTGTGAAAAATATTCTACTAAGGTTATTTTTTATAAACACATGACATATTTTGAAAATAAGGCTCAAGTTTCATTCAAGAATGTAAATTAAATATTAAAAGAATAATAATAAAAGTGATAAATATGTAGCCATTATTACAATACAAGTATCAAACCGCATTGTCTATATTCTCATTTGGTTAAATAATCAGAAAATGTAGGTGAAGTTGCTAAAACGAGGGAAAGATTTTATCAGGAAATAAAACGTGTAAGTTTCTATAACGTATACGTAATAGAAAAACGTTACTTCGGAAAATCTGGTTTTTTTATATTATTTTATGTTTAGTGAACAGGATCTTGTCTGATGGTTTAATGCATCACCACTTAGTAAAAGCGGATATGATGACAAAACAAATTATTAGAGTAACCTGGGGTAAAAGTACACATTATTTTTCTATGAAATATAATTTTTAATAATTTATTTTAGCTAATCAAACTGTTAAAATATAAAATTTAAGTAATAATAGTGAAATTTTAACTTTATTTAATGAGTAATAAACTGAAATAAAATGAAAAATAAAAGCGTACTCTTACCCTAATAATACGATGTTAGGCTAGTAAGTATAGAGTAAATTTTAACAAGCAAAATAATAAATTAAGAATTGTTTAATCATTTTCTACTCGAAATAACAGAATAATGACAAAGTGTATTGAATTTTGTCATTTTGCAATTCAATACCATAATATTTAATTGTAATGAATGAAAAAAAGAGTTAATAATTTAATAATTTTTTTTTTTCAAATAGAAGTATTTTTAAATAAATAGGAAAATAAGAAAAGTATAAAGTGGAAGAAAAATAATTAACTTAATTATTTTAATTGAATAAAATAATGTATAAACCTGATTTATTTCAAAATAAAACAAAAATTGTGATAAAATTTCAATTTTGGTTAAGGTCACAGTTTATATAGTTTTTTTAGGTTTCATATTTTTTTGGTTTTAAAATTATTAAAGGACTTTGATTTTAAACTGATATCTTAGGTTTCGGTTCCTAGCTTGCATATAAGTGTAAATCATTGTTGTCATTTTTATAATCACACAGAACTTAAATAGATATTCTACGTTAAATCGCACAAATAACTTAAATACTTGTAGATACAGTTTTTTCAAATTCATTTCTTGGGACCACACTAAGCTATCATTATGCTTTGTAATAATTCTCAAAATCAACATTTTCTCATAAACAAACAAGATAATTAATAACAAAAAAATTTCTATTGTTTATAATTTTTATATGAATTCTAAAAGAAATATCGACGCTGTTCCGAATCTGGCTTCAGATATTTTTTATTACATTTAGTTTTTAATATTATTAAACAGTAAGATCGTTATAGAAATTTTAATTTTCTTTTTTTAACATTCCTAAAATAATTTCATGGTGTTAATAAAATATGTGCAAAATTTGCTTCTGTTCTCATAAAATTAACCGATTTTTTAGATCTTTAAAGTTGAGTTAAAATTTTTGAAAAAAAAAAAGAAAGCTATACTCTCAATTATATTATTATTTTTATTTATGCAACTTCAACTAACAAATAGAAAATTTTATAAGGATTTAAAGAATATTAATTTTGTGAATTTTCAGTAAATATAAAGCGAAAAAATTGCTGTTAATATAAAAAATACAGAAAAATCTCGAAAATTCACAACAAATATTGATTTTTTATATAAATCTCCAGTATTAATTTATTTTTAAATAATTGAATAATGATATAATAAAATCTTCCATATTTTTTAACAATAAACACAATAATGTACTAACATTTTGACAATTGTATGTAATTGAATACACTTTGATAATTGACTTATATTTTATAAACGTCTTATAAAATTAATTTAGTATTCGAATAACTTACAGTCGACTTTTAGACCTGTTTTTAATAAATTTAATAACATACAAGTAAATGAAAAATTAAAAATTTAATACGTCATATACATAAATCTTACTAAACATTTAAAAATTGCTTTAGAAAAGTTAAATATATATATATATATATGTTTTATATGTAATTATTAATTAGTAGTAATTTAAACAAAAACAAATGCCATAGAAAAAATCTGAAGTCAGATTTGGGGAATCGCGTCGAAATTCCTCAATGAATTCATATAAAAATTGTAAACAAGAAAATAGCTATTATACTGTGTAATTTTTATTAATTCTAATACATTTTATAAATATTTCTAGCATGGAAAAATTATAGTAGCATTAAATGATGTATACAATTTTTCGTTTTTATCTAATGGTAAAATTCTAGAATACGCATAATAACTATTAACATCAAACATAATCATTTTTTTATTTTTAGATGAAGGTCGTAAAAATTTATTGATTTTCCTTAAACTACTGGACAATAAATCTAAGATTTCTTTTCACACAACAAAAGTAACAAATTTTCCACGTTTAATAAATAGAGTAAGTGTAATATTTTTCATTATATTTTAGAAAAGCGCTGTGAAGGTATGTTCCTTTTTTTTTTTTTTTTTGTATAAAAGAATAATGTAAAACATTTAAAATATTAGATGAGGTGATCTAAAGTAAAAAATTTTTTTTACTCATTTATTAAAATTAAACATTAAAATGTTATTTTTAATGTTTAAGGTCAATCTATCTATTTACATATTTTTTAATACTCATCCTACAAAAAACAATCAAATGACGCCCATTTCACGAAATAAAACTGTAAAGATTTCTTAAATTTTATATATATTTTTTTTGATTAAAAACAATAAAAAAACCTAGCGCAGTAGGGTCGCAGCACAATGGGAAAGTAGCATAGTTGGGACCAATATAGATGATATATGATAGTGATTAAAATCACTATGTGACATGGTGGATTATTCCAAAAGCTACATGATCTGCTATTTCCTTATTAATATCCTACACCCAGAGAAAAACCTCGATCTATATAATAAATTCATTGTTCAATTTGATAAATATATCATTACTATTGAATCAATGATATATTTATCAATATGATATTTTTTTTTCTTGTCTTGAACAATAATTATTTATAAGAATAGTTATTTTGTTCGTATTAATAAAACATTACCATAAACCCTTGATAAAATTTCTCTTTCAATTTTGATTGAGGTTTTTCTTTGGGTGTGATTAAGATAAAGTATGTCGAATGAAAGAGGTATATAAATTGAACTTCTCATGAAAAAATTGTATTGATCCATAAATTATTCAAAAAGTTTTATAAGTATAAATTTAAAAATGTAAAATAGAAAATCAAGAATTTTCACACAAAAATAGCATTTGGTAGCCATTTTCACCGTGAAGACAACATAAAGTCCGAAAATTTTTTTTCCATTATAAAGTATATTACATTAGCTTTAATTTAAGACATATATATAAAAGTGTCAGTAATTCCGGAATACTTAAAAAAATTAAGTTGAAAAATTAATTTTTTTGTGTAAAAGTTGTTTTAAATCCCTCATCGTGGACAGGTAAAGGATCAAATTTATAAAAAAAAATATACAAAATGATAAGTAAAGACATTATGTATCTATAAAAAAAAAAATTCTATTGATTTGGCCATTTCTAAGTTATGGCAGATTTAAGTAAAAAAAATAGAAAAATTTCAAAAATTAGTAATTTTTAAAATTGTATCTTTTTGGAGATTTCCCCCATTTACGGGGAACGAGGGAAATTTTTTCAATTTTTGAGGGTAATGTCTTCGACTAGATAAGATTTGTGATCTTTTGACGTATCGTTGAAAGAAATCGGTTCGGTGAGAGCAGAGAAAAAGTGGTAAAACCTATTTTTGCGCAGATTTTAAATTTGTAATTAGAGTTTCGCATATGGCCTACATAATATCAAAATCCGTCTAAGTAATATAACAAATATTTATGTTTGATTGTTAGATTACGTATGAATAATCAATAAATATATTTTAATTAAAATTAAATTGAAAAAGTTCTTCTTTCTATACGTAGATTTAAGTTTTAAACCACCCCTGTATAAAGAGAAATGGTCCGATTTAAAAAAAAAGTGTGCCGTATAAAAGAAGTATATAAATAGTACTCATCATAAAAAAATTGTAATTGTCCATACACTTTTCAAAAATTTAGTTTTATAAATTTAATAATGTAAAAAATTTTTTTTCACAAAAATCGTATTTTATATAAGGAGGATATGGGCCCCCCTTGAACCATCGATATCAATATTTTTTTATACATCTTCTAAGATATAAGGAACTAATGTCCTTTTAGCTTCGCATCGAAGCTGAGAAAGTATTAACTTTATTATGATGTGTTTTTTTTATTTTTTTTTTTTTTTTTTTTGTGTCTGTTACCACTTTTTCTCAGCTCTCATCGAACCGATTTTTTTCACCGATACGTTAAGAGATCACAAATTGTATCTAGTCGAAGACATTACCCTCAAAAATTGAAAAAATTTCCCTCGTTCCCCGTGAGGTTTCCCGTGGGGGAAACCTCCAAAAAAATTACAAATTAAAAAATCGCTAATTTTCATAATTTTTTCAATTTTTTTTACTTAAATCTGCCATAACTTAAAAATGGCCATATCAATATAACTTTTTTTTTTTATAGATGCTTGGCGTCTTTACCTATCATTTGGTATATTTTTTTTATAAATTTGACCCTTTACCTAACCACAAGGAGGGATTCAAAATGACAACTTTTACACAAAAAAATAATATTTTCAACATTACTTTTGAAAGTGTCACTATCAGATAGTATCTATAAGATCCAACTATGCTACTTTCTCATTGTGCTAGCTTTTTTTATAAATGCCCTAGAAAAGAATATACATTCGATCTGTTCAACATTTTTATTTAGTAGTGTGATTTGGTTCATTCCGTTTAAAATATTTATTTGTTTCGGTAAAGTTTGGACCGATTATTACTTCATATAATAGTTCGATATGGTCTTTTTTTTTAATTTTTCAGAACAGTTCGGTCTAATTCTTGCAATCTTGTTCTTTTTGAAGTTTTATCGTATTGTTATTATTTTCCCTTTTGCCTTCCGACGATTATACCAACCGACTCGCGGTATTTGTTTTGCGACTTGTGAATAATGCCCAGCACCTTAAGGGATGTGGTATAATTATATATTATTTGTTTAAGAGTAATAAACAGACTATAGCCAATTATTTAAAATCGAAAATTGTGTAACAAACTACATTTTATCTACCACATTATCAACGTATTATATTTTTCTTACAAAATTTAAACCCCTAAAATCTACTTTAAAAAAAAATGTTGTACCATAAACTTAATATTTACTATAATTTGTAAAAATAAATACATATAATACAATTTTATAAAAAAAAAAAAAAAATTATTTAACGAAAAAAATGAGGTTTATATTTTTAATAATCTCACTGTAAAAAAATTTATTATAATTATGAAGATCAATACTTTATTTACTATTATTAGAACTCAAGTAAAGACTCAATTGTTTACTATGGTCCAGGAAAAATCGAAATAAATTTTGAAAATGATGGTACATTTGCTTTAGAAAATTTTTATTTCTAAAAATATGATATCATTGGTGTACAACTTTTATACTTTCAGATTCTGGCGCCGAAGGTTTGAGAAGTCTACTCAGTGAATTGAATACTAATACATCCTTTAAATTAGAGTCAACAATAGTAATATTTTTATATAAATTTAATCGTAAAAATATTTATTACTAAAATAATGATGCATATGCATTAGTCAACGCTGATTATTTTTTGATTAATGCCAAATTTGAAAATTTTAAACTTTTTTTTAGTGTAAAGGTTTCACTATTATAATGCTTTTAATTTATCTTTATTTTTCTAAATTTTCAATTATTTTTTGAAATAAAATTATTACATCATTTCTAAACTTTTCTAATAAATCCAAAACACAGTAATCGTCAAAAAATAACTATATTTTTTTAAATAAAATTGTAAACTACTAATTTGTAATATTCTTATGGATGAACACGAATTTCTAAATAATATTTTTTACTTAACTAAATCAATAAAAACAACATACTGTAATGTTATAAAAAATCTTTTTACCCTAAAAATATTATGTACCTCAGTTTTAAACCTTATTTTAAATATGCAAGAAACAATCTTTGCATATGTACAAATCCATTTTAAAAATATATTTTCTATTACAGCCTGTTCCAGAAATTAATACTGATGATTTTCAAGTATGTATATTAATTACAATTTCTAATTTATCTTTGTTTCCTAATCTTTAACTAGATACAGAGTACCGTTAAAGGGAGTGATTTCGAACAAATCGGTTTAATCAATAAGAATTAATTACAGAAACATACTTTTAAATTCAATATCTCATCAATCATGCCAAACTGTTTAAGGAGACTCCTCATAATAAATATGATGTACATACTTAGATATATAATCAAGTATGCATTTTCGTTTTTTTCATTTATCCAACTGATAATAACTGTGCGACATTGTAAAATGACAATTTATGAACAAGATTCTTTTAAATGCGTTCGTAATTTTATAATGGGCTTTATCGTTATATACCTTAAGAAATTTTATAAATAGTGAAGTTATTCAATTAGAAAGAGATAGTGTTAATAGAAGAAAATAGAGGGGAAATTAATCAAAGGCAAAGTGGTGGAGATCAACTCTTGAAGAAAAGGGTTTAAGAATAAGTAGGAGTAAGACAGAGTATATTAGTATGAGTTTGACAAAGCAGAACACAGGTAGGTGAAATGAGGAGGTCAGTGACAATAGGCGAGGTGGAGAGTTTTAAGTATTTAGGATCAGTTGTGCAAAAGAGTGGTGGTATTGACGAGGATGTAAGACACAGAATTAAGTGCGAGTGGTTGAAGTGGAGAGAAGCGTCTGGTGTCTTATGTGATAAAAGAATTTCAATGAGGATGAAAGGTAAATTCTACAAGACTGTAGTGAGGTCAGCTATGATGTATGGTTCAAAGTATTGGGCAGTTGGTAAGAAAGTAGAGCAGAGATGAGAATGCTTAGATGGATTAGTGGAGTAACTAGAAAAGGTTAGGATAAGGAACGAGCATATAAGGGGAAGTATAGGTTGAATAAGATGAGAGAAAATAGACTTAATTGGTTTGGTCATGTTATGAGAAGAGAACAATCGGAAGCTGCAAGAACAGTTATAGAAATGTATGTTGAAAGAAGAAGAGGTAGAAGAAGACCAAAAAAGAGATGGAGGGATGCTATTGAATGCGATATGAGGACAACTAATGTGAGCGTAGATGATGTGGGAGATCGTTCAAGTGGAAGTTTAGAATAAGGGTGGCCGACCCCAAATAATTGTGATTAAAACGTGGAAGAAGAAGAAGAGTGAAGTTACTAAAATAAAATATTAAAAATAATTCATATTTTCGGATTACTTTGATTTTGTTTACATCATATGTAATAAATTGTGTATCAAATTACATTATATCTACCACATTATCAATGTATTACATTTTACTTATAAAATTTAAACCCCTAAAATCTACTTTAAAAAAAAATTTTTGTATCATAAACTTAATATTTATAATTTGTAAAAATAAATACAAATAATACATTTTTATAAAAAAAAAATCATTATTTAACGAAAAAAATGAGGTTTTATATTTTTAATAATCTCTCTGTATAAAAATGTATTATATTTATAAAGATCAATACTTTATTTGCTATTATTAGAACTCAAGTAAAGACTCAATTGTTTACCATGGTCCAGGAAAAATCGAAATAAATTTTGAAAATAATGGTACATTTGCTTTAGAAAATTTTTATTTCTAAAAATATGATATCATTGGTGTACAACTTTTATACTTTCAGATTCTGGTGCCGAAGGTTTGAGAAGTCTACTCAGTGAATTGAATACTAATACATCCTTTAAATTAGAGTCAACAATAGTAATATTTTTATATAAATTTAATCGTAAAAATATTTATTACTAAAATAATGATGCATATGCATTAGTCAACGCTGATTATTTTTTTATTAATGCTAATTTTGAAAATTTTAAACTTTTTTTTAGTGTAAAAGTTTTACCATTATAATGCCTTTAATTTATCTTTATTTTTCTAAATTTTCAATTATTTTTTGAAATAAAATTATTACATCATTTCTAAACTTTCTGTATTATTTTGTGTATTATATACATAGATATTCGGAATTCAAATAAAATTTATTTAAAGATCAAAAAAATTATAATGATGTTATGTTTTTTTTAATTTTATACACAGATTGTCCATAAGTTCTGCCAGGGCTTGTATTCTTGTAACTCACGAATGTTAAATTGTAGAAACTTAAATTTTACATTGCTATAAAAAACACAAATTTTGCTCTGAAATACATGATTTATTCAAGTGACCTACTTTTTGTCGTCATGAGCTGCCTTAATTTTTTTAGCTAGTCGCCTATTGTTTTACACATGACTATTAGACGAATTTTTGCCTCTGTTATTACTTCAGACTGTCTAATGAATTTTGGCTATAATTTTCAAAAGCACAAAAATCTCTCAACAAAACATTCTACAATTAAAAGTCAAGAGAAATTGGATAAGAAATTCTTTATGAACTATAATTGTTACAATAATCAAATCAGTATCGGTTTTTCAATATTTTTGCTAAAAGAAAAAAATATTTGGAATCCATGTCAGACTTTTACCCTACATATTAAATAATGTAAAAATATCTCTATCTATGAAGGTCCAAACATACTAAATCGACTATACCCCCATAAATCCGCCACTAGAAGAACTTATCATTTCTGACTTTTCAATTTTTTGTCAACAGCTTTATTCTACTGAATACTCTAGAAATGGCCCTAAAATAAGCTTAAGATATAAACATTTTTAAAGAAACTTTTTTGTGTCTCTAGGCATTGTAGAAATAATTTCTTGAACAATATTTTAAGCATTATTGTTAAAGCAGTGGAGGATATCTCTCTATGACAGCAAAACATAAACTTTTCCAATAACTTATTTGTATTTAAGAATTTTTTTTTTTTTGCTCATATTAGCAATGTAAAATTTAATTGCTCACGATCATTCGTGAACCATTAAGAGTAGTAGTTGTGAGAAAACTTATGGCTAAACTATGTAGCATTATGTTTAAAACGACTTCCAATAAAGATTGTTTTTGGTTAATTCATCATCACAAAAAAACTGTATTTTAAGATGAAATATAAAATAATGGATTTAATGTAGCTTACAATGTTCACATCATTCTCAAAAAACTGTAATAATCAAATACCAAAAAATAAAATAAATTCATTTTAAAAATATATTTTCTATTACAGCCTGTTCCTGAAATTAATACTGATGATTTTCAAGTTTGTATATTAATTACAATTTCTAATTTATCTTTTTTTCCTAATCTTTAACTAGATACAGAGTACCGTTAAAGGGAGTGACTTTGAACAAATCGGTTAATAAATATGATATACATACTTAGATAGATATATAATCAAGTGTGCATTTTTTTAATTGCCCAACTGATAACAACTGTGCCACATTGTAAAATGACAATTTATGAACAAGATTCTTTTAAATGCGTTCGTAATTTTATAATGGGCTTTATCGTTATATACCTTAAGAAATTTTATAAATAGTGAAGTTATTAAATTAGTAAGAGATAGTGTTAATAGAAGAAAATAGAGAGGAAATTAATCAAAGGCAAAGTGGTGGAGATCAACTCTTGAAGAAAAGGGTTTAAGAATAAGTAGGAGTAAGACAGAGTATATTAGTATGAGTTTGACAAAGCAGAACACAGGTAGGTGAAATGAGGAGGTCAGTGACAATAGGCGAGGTGGAGAGTTTTAAGTATTTAGGATCAGTTGTGCAAAAGAGTGGTGGTATTGACGAGGATGNAGTTTTAAGTATTTAGGATCAGTTGTGCAAAAGAGTGGTGGCATTGACGAGGATGTAAGACACAGAATTAAGTGCGAGTGGTTGAAGTGGAGAGAAGCGTCTGGTGTCTTATGTGATAAAAGAATTTCAATGAGGCTGAAAGGTAAATTCTACAAGACTGTAGTGAGGTCAGCTATGAAGTATGGTTCAAAGTATTGGGCAGTTGGTAAGAAAATAGAGCAAAGAATTGAATTTTACATTTAACGTAACGTAAAAAATCTTTTTTTTATCATTATACTGAAAAATTAAATTTTTTGAGTTGTTGCAGTTTTGAATTGGGTGTCGATATAAAATATTTTTAGTATCTAAAATTTAAGAACGACCGAATTTAGGAATATGGGGATCCTGGGCCCACGTTACAGATGGACAAAAGAACATAAAACATTATCCGAACATTATTTTAGTTATCACTTTTAGATTTTATGAATAAAAATAGCCCTTGGGCCCTTCCATTAATTCAAATCTAATTAAAAATTTCACTAATTAACCTATTGATTTTAGGATTTAGGTAAAAAAATAAATGTTCTAAAAATTGATACAGCTTCATTTGTATTTATTGCTGATGGTAATTTATAAATTTTTTCTATTAAAGTCTTATAAAACATAGTTGCTATAAACACATTTTTCTATTTCTAGATCCAGAAATATTTTTGAAAGATATTCGGAGTCTATTTAAAGAAAACGTTAGCATATTCATTGGACCAGTTAAAGTAATTTTTATTAACTATTTTGTTAAAAAATATTTATTATTTTTATATATAAATATTTAAAAAATTGAATTCTTTTTAATTTCTCAACAAATATTAAAAAAAAAATGTTAACTAAAAAAGGCACTCATTTTTCATGTTTTTCATGTAAAGTAATAACTTTTAAAATATTTTTTATACTTTTATTATTTTTATATCATGATTTTAAACGACTTACAGTTTTTAAAAGACGGCATCTTTATTAGGTCATCAATTGATAAGTTCTACCGATTCATAACATGACAGGGTGTATAGTATCTGTCGTCATTTTATGAATCGATAGCGTTTATCGATATTCAATATGATAACGTTTAATAACAACAATGTGATGGAAGAATATTTTTGAATATTTCGATTGGTGAGGAAGGCAAAATGTTCACGCGTTCCCTTAAAGTGAACAGTAATTCTTGAACTTTTACTTTGTATGATTCAAATATATCTGATTGAATTATCACCATTAAATAGTTTTATTTGAAGATGATATATAATTATGTTATAAATACTTAATTCGCATTGCATTTATTCCATACTTCTTTCTAGGATGAAAGTAATTCAAAAGATTTACCGAAATTAACTTTAATGAAGCTTTAATAGAGAATATAAAAAATTTAAATTAAAATTTCTTTTAAGGTAGTAATTTATTTACTCAATTTACTTAATTCAGTGGCGTAACTAATGGCAAAGTTGTCAAAGATATACTTAGGGGTTCCTCAAATATTTTAATGCACTATAGATCATTAAACTCTTAAATTCAAAAATTTACTTGCCTTGGCTAAATTGTCAAATCAAATACAGAGTGAACAATTAAGCTACTGTATGGGCAAGACTCTATTTTCGTGTACAGTCAAATGTTCATCACTGGACTATTAAAAATATAGAATTGAGTAAAAACACGCAAAGCATTAATGTAATGTTTATCTGTTGCAACTTTTAAAAATTACTCATTTTTTTGAAATTGTAGTGCAATCACTTCATATATATGTATAATTATTTACTTTAATTTATAATGGATTCAAATAAAAAAAACTTACACACTCAACAATTAATAAGAAATAAGTATAATAATAATTTGGAAAATATGAAATATACATAATTAATACACTATTTATGTATCAAATTCCTTAAATTTAAATATTCCATTCTAAGGTATGCAGGGGCGTATTTAAAAAAAAAATATGTAAATAGATCTTCGAAGAACAAACTTATTTACATAATGAAGATAGAATATTTTTATTTTAGTTTTAGGGTAGTGAAAAATTTTCTAATTTATATGCCCTCCTATTACAAATTTATAACTACCATATATTTTTGTGGAGATAAAAAATTTATCTGAATTGATTCGTTTATGTTATAAAATAATCATATAGACTGCAGATGAACTATTCATAAACATAACAAAAATTTTAATGAACGTTCACGTTTCATCTGATAAAAAAATGAATTTTAATGAAATAAATTCTTTTTTCACACACTAAACATGAACTTGAACAATTTTGACTTTTAAAGAACGTTTCAAACGCTGCAATTCTTGTTATCATATCTGTCACATACGAAAACAAAAACAAATACTGACAATAATTTATTGAAAAATATTATTGTTGCCTCTATATTTCTGAAAACCAAATTATTCATGAATTTTCATTTTAAATTCAAATCTTTAAATAATAATAAAATGCAATCGGTTATTGGATAAAAAAATTTAAATAATAAAGTTGCTTGAAATTACTTTTTCTATCATATCATTAAAATAAAAGTAGATACCCATTAAAGAAAATTATAGTTCAGGTTTTTCATCCTTGAAAGGAAAAAAATACAATTAAACTACAAAATATGAAATTAAAAATAATATTAAAATTGTATAATTTTTTGAATTAAACAATATTTTCTTTTGCAAAAACTGAAGATATTTAATAGTTCTAATTAAATGAGTACATTATCCTTAATTGATCATTTGTAGTTTACTAGTCTTATACTACTCTCTTTGGACCATTTCATTTGTCCAATTACGCCACTAACTCTAACATTTGTTTATAATAATTAATTGTACATATAAATTAATGGTGGATATTTTTTTCTCTTGCAGTTATTTAAAAGAAATCAAACAATCATATTTATTTAATATCAATCAATGGAATAATATTAAAAAAATAGTTCATTTATATGATTCAAATCTATTTTTATTGTTCAATGCATTGCTATACTTTCAATTTATGATAGTTCATTTTACAAAATAAAAAAACTAATAAAAACTTTAAATATAGTTTTGTTGTTATTCAGTTTATTAATTTATGCATGTTACATAATTCAATAATTATTTACACAGTTTTGTAATCTCGGTCTATTTTTCATATAGATCGTAAAAGAAAATCAAAAACATATATTCGAGATTTAACTTTAGAATAATATTTTTCGATTTAATTAATTTTTTGATGACTAGGAATTTTGAACGACTATTGAATTATTATACATTGATAATTAACCAATCGAAAAATATGCAACAAGTTATCGTTTTATCCATAATATTTTAATACTATAAGAGTTTCTAGATATTATATACTTCAGAAGAGTGTTTGCAGTTCACTTTTGAAAAATCTATATTACAAATAAAATGAATATAATAAAATATATATAATTACCTTTTCAATGAGTTCTTTTATTTCTAAGAAGCTTAAAAGAAAATCAATTACTCGTACCAAAGATTTCATTATTAGAATTTTAATTATCTAGGGGAAAATTTAGTAATAATTTTACAAAAAGCTGCATTTTTTTTGTGGAAATACGTTAATAAGTGGATTATTAATTAAATGGACTATAGATTTCACAAAAATGTCTAATCAGAGAAAAAACGTTTGTAGTTTTCAATTAAACTTATGAAATAACTTTATTCGTACTTGGTAGATTTTAGTCTTTTCTTCAGATCTCATTAACAATCTAATTTCTTTGAGTTAATTAGAAGTTAGTTAAAAATCTTCAGCTATAATAATATTTTGCTATAGCATTTGAATCTATTAATGCAGATTTAATAATTTTTAAATATTTAGTATTGGATTGATATGAAATGTAATGTAAAACCAAAAAATACTAGTTGCCATCACTATTCCTTACTTACTGAACAGCCTGTACAAAATAGGCAACACAAATTTGGCTAAAATATATTATGAAATTTGATTTTTTTTTTACATTTCAATAAATAATTATAACGCTATTAGTGAAGGAGATACCCTACCCACAAAACACCAAATTTGATTTCGATTTTCTATATTTTAAAATACCTACCATCATTAAACCTACATTAAATTAAAGATTATTAATATTCTAAGATAAAAAAACAAAAACTGTAATTTTGATTTTTAGAAGTAATCGGTCATTTAAGCAATATATCCTTTAACTTTTGGAAAAAATATCAAATTTTGTCGTACTTTGCATAGTAGAGGAATACTCACAGCATTCTCAATTAATTCAAATTAAAACTTTAATAAATTATTAAAAAAGAAAAACATTCCGGTGACTTATCATTTGTGAGTAATCTACCTCTTAAGTCAAAAACCAAGAAATTTTGGTAGATATGTTAAATATATTTTTAATACGTATCGAAGCATTTTATAAAATTAGTTCATTATATAGTGTTCAATAAGGAAATGGGTTTCTATTGTTCTCATTGTTTGTACAATTGACCTGTTTTCTGAATTACTGAATTTTCTGTATATTTAATATATAAACATATAATAAACAATTATAAAATAATTATATCATAATAATACATATATTATACTCATTGCAAAATTATTTTAAGATTAATGCTTATCTAAAAAATTCATCAATTTTACTTTACTAGATAGCTACTATATTTTTTGTTTATAAAATGAGTTATGAAAGTAGTCATTTTTAATTAAAAGCAAAAGTCAAGATTGTATTATCTTCATAGCTCTTTAAGTACTTCCCAATAAATCTGCAGTTTTTTTAATACTCTGAAGATTTCAAATAGTAGATTTACAAAGTCAATGGTTAAAGCCTTGAAATATTTTATAATAATCTATCATCTCAGCTAAATCATATACTCAATTTTTAATAAATTAGACAAATTTTAAGTTTCAATTGAAAACATTTTTATGTACACAAGAAACTCAGATTTTAATGTTAAATAATTGTATAATAATATAAATTTAAATAAAGAAATGAAAAAAAAATTTACATATAATATAATGATCCAAAAACATTAGAGTAAATCGATTTATACTATAAATCGATTTCTATAAATTTTATAGAATACCCTCTTAAAAATTTAGTTTTCATTTTTTCTAATAGTTTTTACTTAAGTTCCCCTTTAAATAATTTTTATAAACACATAGACACCATTGTAAACAAACAACACTATTATAATTAACAAAATGTACAATACAAAACAATAAAACTCAATAGTACAAATTATTTTACTCTTAAGTTTATTACTTTTTTTTTGTTTTTTTAGTACACTATTTACAAACTAACAAAAATTTTAACATTTAAATTTAATACTTTAAATGTTTTGCGACATTTATAATAAATTATTAAACTATTTCTTTAGGACATTCATTATTAAACTTAAGTTTTTGTTTCTTGATTTGTAATAAATTTAGGTAGCTTACAATTACTTTACAATAATATTTTTTTTAGTAACATAATATAATAATAAAACACATATATTATATCTTCTTGTATCTTAAATTAATAAATTTTAATACTTCATCGTTATCACTCCTCTTCAAAAGAAAATGTCAATTTTAATGTATACTTGCAATTGGTATCTAAATATAAATAAATCAAAATGTTTCTAAAAAGTTTTGATTTGATGTCTTATATATGTTGGAGCAGACATATATATTGTACATATATATGTACAAAACAATATTTCTCACAATTCACTATTACCATACTCATCACCCTCTTTCTTCAAGCTGCTTATATTTTATTTTATAAAAGAACTAAAATCAATGACCACTAGTGATCTCATCTATATATTGTCTTCCAAAGTAAAAAATTTCTAACACATTCAAACACTATTTTACCACTCTGGGTAGTAAATTTATTACTGAGGGCGACTTAAAATCTAAGCATCCTAGCTGAGGTAACCATGTAGTTAATATAAGAGATCCTAAGAAATGTTTTAACTAAAGATAAATACTTATTACTGCCCCCACTAATAAAAGCAAAAAAAAATTAATTAATAAATTAACAGCACACTTAAAACAACTACTTGAAGAAAAAAGTTTGGTTAGATCCCAATGGTAACGCTTTAGATACTCTTTTAATAAAGAAAAATTAATTTTCTTAAAAATAAAATAAGCAGAGCTCTCCAAAGCTACATATATAAGATTTATAATTTTTATTTGTCAAAACTCTCTCCTCTGATTTTTTTATTCCAAATTTTTAATGCTCTACTTTAACTATCATACTTACCTAAGTTGTGAAGAAAATCCATTATTATACTTAAACTTAAATCTCACAAACCTCCAGAGTATCGTTCCTCCTACCATCCTATCAGTTTACTACCTACATTTTCAAAAATGTTTTAAAAGACTTCTTACTATAATAACGGAATACATCATTCCAAATCATCAATTTGACTTTACATCAAATTACTCCACCATCCATAAACTTCATCACAGAACAGACTGTATATCAACTAGTCTTGAGAAAAAGCAATACTACAGTGCAGTCCTATTCGATATGGCTCAAGCATTTGACAAAGTCTAGCACAAAGGCCTCTTATTTAAACCAAAAAAATGTCTACCTGCTCCATACTATCTAATAATTAATTCCTATCTAACAATTCACACATTTTCTATTAGAGCTAATAATGACTACTCACTGAACTACAATATTAAAGCCGGTGTGCCGTAAGGTAGCGATTTAGCTGCTTTTGTGTATTAGGTTTTTGCTCATGATACACTTTAATCATATCATACAACCCTAGGAACATACATTGATGATACCATATTGGTGCCACATATTTTTGATAAGTTTTATACACAATCACCTCGTCTCTTTCATCAGCAGTCTTATTACATCGTTAGCCCAGCCTGATTAAAGAACCCCACTATTTAACTAGAGTATAAAGTCCATCTACTGGAGCGCGGTTGACCATTGAGAGCCGGCAGTGTACACTCCTCTCGTTTCTGATGTCTTGTGTGTACTTACACTATTCCATCGTCTTTTTGTATCAAAAAGTATTTTTGTATCAAAAAGTATTTTTGTATATTATTCTAATAATATATAATATATATATATATAGTTTTAACTTAGCCAGTGCCATTTTTATTTTAATCCATGTTTATCTTTTNGTTGAGCAATCCATTACATCTAAAAAATATTATTTTGTTTAATTTTATTTAAAAAAACTTAGAATAATTATAATCAATTTTTGTATCATTATTTTTTTTTTTTTTTGTTACCATTTTTTCTCATCTCTCACTGAACCGATTCCTTTCAACGATCACAAATTGTATCTAGTCGAAGGCATTACCCTCAAAAATTGAAAAAGTTTCCCTCGTTCCCCGTAAATGGGGGAAATCTCCAAAAGAATTACAAATTTAAAAATCGCTTATTTTCGAAATTTTAACTTATTGAAAAGTGTATGGATCAATACAATTTTTTTATGAGAAATAATATTTATATCCCTATTTCATTCGACATACATTATCTTAATCAGGAGATAAATAAGGAAATAGCAGATTATGTAGCTTTTAGAATAATCCACCAATTTTAAAAATTAAACACTATCTAAAGATTTGCATTGAAGCGTTTTTTATGATAGTGATTTTAATCACTGTCAGATATCATTATACTTGACCCAACTATGCCACATCATCACTGTGCCACGACCCCCCTGTGCGGGTTTTTTTTCTCACTATTACACAATCCTATATTACTGTTTTATAGACATAATGAAATATCCATGTTACCATCCTTTTAATTTCAAATATAGATCCAGTAATGGTATCTACACTTCTTCAAAATCATTTTGGTATGATTCACTACTGGTCCATCCAATGGAAAGTAAAAATAAATAAAACAAAGAATATTTTATTACCCTCTCTCTAAAAAAAAAGTGATTCCTTTCCTCCTATTTCTTTCAATAATGAAATAATTTCAAACACTAATGAAGCCAAATACCTTGTACTAGTACTAGACAAGCGACTTACTTGGTCATCACTTTTTTAAACCAAATATAAAGTTGATAAATTTATCTTTTCCATTCCCTCTTACGATCTAAACTGTGCTTAAACAATAAGCTAACTCTATACAAAGCTATAATTAGATCAACGTGGTCTTAAGGCATATAAATCTGTGTGTTTTTCCTCAATACCGTCATGTGACTTTATTATAATAATTGCTAAATGTATAACAGATGTATAAATTGCAATTTTTTCATAAAAAAAAAAAATGTACCTTTTAAACAAATTCAAAAATGGGACCGAGTCAAACTAAGAATAATTAATCTAAACTAAGTTCATAAAATAATAAATATTTATAATATAATAATAAAATACTTCAATATTTGAATATAAAAACAAAACTTCTTTAAGGTAATCAAGCGATGATTTAAATGAGTAATTTGTTTGATTTTAGAAAGCAAAATGGTTTTGTAACATGTTATGTTATGGAAGTACTATAATTCGATTTAATGTTGTTTATGGTATCAGTATGAAAAACAAAAACAATCAAGTTAAATTATTTAAAAAAAAAAAAAAACAAATAATAAAATACTTTAATCAAATATTAGTACCTTTTATGCACAGAGTACAATAGTTTATGTTCATTATAGCTTCTATAGCATCAGCTATTTCTTCAAAAATAATTAATCCTTTAGTACTTATTTGTTTTTTTGGCTCAGTACCTAATTTATAATAAAAATAATATAATTAATGAATTAAATCAATATTTGTAAATATTTTACTTTAATTACTTTTTAGTGTCCCCAATTTTATCTTGAATTTTTTATTCTGGCCTAAATATTTTTTTAATAATTGAATTAAAGTATCAATTTTTAAATCAAGGGGTGCATTGTTAAATTCAACTACCTATTTAGACAAATATTTTAAAAATAACAATAATAATAATAGAATAGAGCTAAGACCAAGACTTATTCTCGCCTAACCTCACAATATTTTTGTTGTGAGGTGTATTACATACAATTTAGGCGCATGTTTCAAAAGTTTTAAAATCTCATATTATGTTTTTACTAAAGCTCTCACTAGATTGTTTAATGTTCACTATGTAATTATGAATTGACATAAACATAAACAATGTTAAAAATTTTACAAAAAATATTTTTAACATATCTAAAATAGACGACAGTATTAAAAATCCATCTATAAAAGGGAAGTTTTCTCTACTAAGGTGGTCATATAATTTTTAAATAGGTTTTTGAAATATAAAACTATATTTGCGATAAAAATGATAGGTTACAGGATTTTCCCAAAATCAAGGTCAGAAAAAGTTCCATAGAGAATCGTGTGATTTCCACAATATTTATCATCTGGGGACTATAAAAGCCACGAGGCTTTATTAATAAATTAATTTAGTGTTTCAGGATGGTCTAGTGGTCTAGTTTATACAAGTCACAGTTTTACAATTAAATTGTATACATATATAAATTTTGATTAATTTGATAATTGTCTAAGTTATATTCATTTGAAATATTATTTATATATCTAATAAAGTCTACCCAATATTGTATATAAAAAAAAACATCTACAATTAAGGAAAATCACTTCATTCAAATATCCTGAGTGAATTGAACAAACATTTTAAAGACTTTGAGCTATATACTGATATTCTAGTTGACACAAAAGTAAAAAAATTGTTAATGAACATACAAATGTACATTTAGTTAAACCTAATACAAATTCTGGACTAAATACCTAAAGCAATCAGTCATTAGACCTATGGTCATATACATTAGTAGTATTATTAATAGAACTGTACCAATAGAACAAGGGGTATAACTATGTTAATATTATTATTTTTCACAATTTTAATAAAAACATTTCTTTTAGAATTATTAGATGATTGATTTTTTAAGTAAGTCAGATGTAAATATGAAAAACAAACCTACTAGAAGTATGGGATATTATAAAAACAATGCTTCTTAATTTATATAAAATTGCAAGTGAAAATTTTTCAATTATTGTTACTTTTTTTGTTCTATCAAACAACATGCACCACGGCACCTCTCCTTGTATTTCTCTAGTAATTTCATCCATCACTATAGAGAATAAGTAAGGACTTAAAGCAGAACCTTGGTACACTCCTACTCTTATCCGAAAACCTTCTGATACTCCTCCTACGCTTTTTACCCTGGTACTAGTGCCATCTAATATCTTAGATAATAAGATATTAATATCTTCTATTATATTAATGTACCTTTTCGGGATTCTTTTCTCATTAATGCCCACTTTAAAACCTCTCTCGGTACTCTGTCATACGCTTTCTCAAATCTATAAATACCATACACAGCTTTTTCTTCTTTTTCCAAAACTTTTCTATTAGTTGTCTCACACAAAATACTGGCTCCATTGTTGACTTACCAGGCATAAATCAAAACTGGTTTTTAGATACTGATGTCTCATTTCTTATTCTCTTATCTATTACCTTTTCCCAAATTTTCATACTATGTCCTTAAGTAAAAATGTGTTATTTTATTAGTTTTATATGAATTTTCTTTTTTTTATTAATTTGAGGTATCTCACTGAAGCTTCTTTTTGTTCATCTAAATATTTTGGACTAATTTTGTTTTAATATATAAAAATTAATAAAAAATTTGTTAAAATATAAATTTACCTTTGATGGAAATGAAGATGAAAAAAAATTATGATTTATCCTGTTTGTGTAATCAACAAATGAAGGTGACCCATCTGATAGCTTAAAACATAATGTATCTTTTTTCTCAATTATCCGATAATTTTTTGAAAACCTTAATATTATTTATATACTACGTATTTTATTATAAGCTTATCAATTATTAACTTAACTTACTGAAATGATAAATATTTTCCATGTGATAATTTGATATTTTGAAGTAAAGCAAAGGAATCTATATTTTGAATACTTCCAATTTCCACCAAAGCACAATCTAATTTTGACTGAAAATATCTTACCTACAGTAAGTCAATTAACTAGAAAATTTTAAGTCATAAATTCATTAAATAATGGTGAATATTTACTCTAGCTACATAAGCATACAAAGAAATCATTCTGTATACATGATCACAATTGCTTTTACTTGGATCAAGACCATAAATGTATAATAGAAACAACTTTTGTTTAACTGATATTGCTGTACTATAAATTTTTTATAATAAGTAAATATTAGTTCATAGAATTATAGCAATCAAACTATTTAAGTCCAAACAAAACAGATTATACAAAAAGTAAATTTAATTTTTAAATTACTTTAAATTATCCTACACATAACTTAAGATAACTTACTTTTCTAAACCACAGTTAGATTGATTTATTTGTACATCTCCATTCATTTCTGAAAAATATTAAAGTAATACAGAGTAAGTATCATCTACTATTTTAAGAAAATTAAATGCAGATTATATATCAAAAATAACCACTTTAATATTTTATTAAAAAAATGAAATTTTCACACAAAAATGTACAAATTGATACTGGATTGAAAACTAAGTAATGTAATTCAACTAAGGTGTTTCCCTCAGTCACACATCACATTGTCAATTTATGTGAAAGTGTAATGGGATTTGAATCTTTCTCTCATCTTATCCACAATTGAGGCTACACCTATACTCCCTCTTATATGTTCATTTTTTTATCTTATCTTCTCTAGTCACTCCACTCATCCATCTAAGCATTCCCATATCTACTGTACTCATTTTCTGATCTACTTTCTTGTCAACCGCCCAACACTTTGAACTATACATCATAGCTGGTCTCACTACACTCTTATAGAACTTATCTTTCAGTCTTATTGGAATTCTATTATCGCATAACACACCAGACACTACTCTCCACTTCAACCATCCATACTTAATCCTGCGTCTACTTCTTCGTCAATACCACCGCTTTTTTGCACAACTGATCCTAAATACTTAAAACTCTCCACCTCTCCTATCACGTCCTCGCCTATTGTCACTGACCTCCTCATTTCATCTACCTCGTGTTCTCCTTTGTCAAACTTGTACTCTATATACTCTGTTTTACTTCTACTTATTCTTAAACACTTTTCTTCAAGAGCTGATCTCCACACCTCTAGCCTTTGATTAATTTCCTCCATATTTTCTCCTATTAACATTATATTGTCAGCGAACAACTTGTACTACAGCACCTCCCCTTGTATTTAACTAAAATTTCTGCTATCACTATAGAAAATAAGTAAGGGCTTAGAGCAAAACCTTGGTACATTTGTACTTTTACCCTAAAAATTTCTGTTAAGTGTTTAAAAATTAATAAAAGGAATATTATTACATAAAAAAACATATTATAATAAAATTAAAACCTTGCCTTAAAATGAAAATTTAATCAACATTTTTTATATTAACAGAAGTATCAATACAAATTTGAGACTATAATAATATATAATTAAAATTATAGGGTGTGAGGTTAATACCAAATCACCTTTAATATACAATAAAAATTGAGAATTTATATTTAACTATAGTATCAGTCACATAATAACTAAATTAAGTTTATTCTCTAAATATTTCTAAATACCTTTTTCAAAACTTTCGTATAGCATAGTTGGAGTTGTTAACACCAAAGTTGAGCAATCCATTACATCTAAAAAATATTATTTTGTTTAATTTTATTTAAAAAAACTTAGAATAATTATAATCAATTTTTGTATCATTCAAAACTACTTTTATGATAATTATAGAAATAATAATTTATTAGAGTCTAGCTTTATATTATAAAAATGTTTATATCAATGGTATAGTAAATAAGTGTGATAAGTGATATTAGTAATTTTTAATTAAATATGTATATTTCTGTTTTGAATTATTTCTTTTAATATAATTTTAATTTTAGATATAAAATTCAGCCCATTTGGTATAAAAGGAAAATAACACATAAATATAATAATAATTAATATGTTATATAATTTTAGGAACTTTCAACATTTCTAAGATAAAATTAGTCAAGTTATACAATGCCAACAAAAAATTATAAAACGCTTGTAGCATTACAATGATTCTTTATTTAATTGATCTAAAAATGTATTAATATTATTTCACAATAGTATTCATTACTATTACGAAGTCACTAAACACATTTGATCACAACGCAAAGACGTTTATGATAAATTACAAATATTTTAGTCACTAATTACATTAAATTTTTTAATTTACTAAAAATAGATATACGTATTTATTTCAAATAATCATGACATCTGGCGGAGAAAATAACAAACTATTTACTTATAACCAGTGTTGTAATTACCACGAACTAAAATAAGACTGGACACGGTTAAGATCGGTAAGATGGAGTATTCTACAAGTGAACTCTAGCGACGAACATGTTTTCAGAAGACAACATTTTAAAAACAAATTGAGGGAAAATGAATGTCAAATAGTAGATAGCGCAGTTACTTCAAAATTCTCCTTCTATGAAAAGTGAAAACAAACCCGTATTGTCTGATAAGGTCAAGTCAAATAATGACAAACAATTATTTTCCCTGTTAACACTACTTAGGCCCATTAGAAAAATATTCTGATTCAATACTGGCCCCTTCTCTAAATATACCCCTAGCCAAGATTATTAATATGAGTTAGGGAGAAATTATTTTTTGAAAGTAACCATTTTAAATTTTAAATGTGGTAATTATTGTAAAAAGTGATTATTAACTATTATTAAAAAGTGATAATATGATTAGTTAATGAGAGATCTAAATGTGAATTTTCTTATCATCAAATAGTAGTTTAGTTTTCTAATCGGCAACACTGTTTACAAAATCTGTGCGTAATGTGCGAAATTTTTAAATTAAAAGAAATAAGCAAATAACTAATTATATCAAAAAAATGTCACTTAACACTTGTGTGTTACGCCATCGATATCTTAAAAATTTTATTTAAAACTTACCCTTCGACAAATCCTGAAATGTGGTAATATCTAATTCATCAGAAGACTCTGTAATAAATATTTATACATTTAATTATGAATTATTTAATTGTACACGTGTATTGGAAGCAAGTATTGGTAAAAAATGTACAAAAAATGGTTTAGACATAGGAAAGGTTTATATAAAAAGAAAAAGCTTAAATCATTTGAACTTATTTTCCTAAAAGATTATCTCAAAATTTTCCATCTATTTTAGCAATTTCACTCGCATTTTCGAAAAATTTATATTATTGTTAAAATATTGAATACATCTGTTCAAATTGACTCCATTACAAATTTCATAAACTCTTACATTATATTTAATATTAAAAATGTATGATAAATTTCTCTATTTACGTGTTTTAATCAATGACAAACTGCACAATGATCGAGAAATAAATGAAGGTCTTTGATGTTTAGGTATAAAATTTATTTTTAAAGTTCTCGAAACTAATGTATTCATAATTTGTCTTCAGTTTATTCAAATATTTGTCTAAATTTTATCCAATTTTAGAGAATCAGTAATTTACTATTTATCCATATATTTGAACAAATTTCTATATATTACTAATTTTAATTTACCGACAACTATACATTTGTATAGATAGCATTTACGGATATTAGCTTCCTTCATGATATTCTTAATATGTTAAATATAATTTTTTTGACATTAAATATGTTATTCCAGTTGTAAGAAAGAGCACTAACTCATAGAAAAACAGATAATTAAAAATTCCTGAAATAAATGCAATTCTGAAATTAAACATTTATCGATAACGTATATTTAATAATTATAATAACACTTTTAAATAATAACTCAAAATACTCAAGTAGCTATTACAAAAGTAAACAGAAGACTGAATTCATTGTCAATATTATAAAAGGTATAATGTATTATAAATGTTTATATTTTATTGTTTACTTATTAATGTAGTGTATTCTACTTTGTCCACTAGGCATCTCAATAACAAAAATTATATTAAATAGATAATCAAAATAACTACATAATGTCTATATATATACATTAGGTTGTGTGTGTATACAAATTTTTAATAACACGATATGTCTCTCTAAAATTATATCTATTGATTTTTATGATTTGAGCCATAATTTTATGAAAATTTTATTTCCGACTTATTATAATCTACAATTCATTAGTTTATTTTGTTTCTGGACCAAATTTTACTAATATACACATTGGGGTATATAGGGATGCAAAAAAAGATTTCATTAATTTTTTAATATCTTAAAAATTGAATTTTTTTTTCTTATAGTATACTCAATAATATTCAAAATAAAAAAAGCCTCGTCGTTAAAATTTTTAAAAAATTATACAAAAAAGAAGGGTTACATGATATGTATTTATTATTTAGCAAAATGTAAATAATAATGACTACTATTTTAAGATAATCATTAGTGAGATGAAGAATATCAAATAATTTAAAGGGTTTCTTTTTATATAATATTTATTGAAAATAAAAATATACTACACCTTATTCTTATAAAAATTCTATTACATAATAAGGTATATCACACTAAAATATCAATTTTTGAGTATTATAGTTCAGAATAAGAGTAAAATAGGAATTTTCGAAATAATTAAGTAACCCCTCCTTTTACAAGATAGTTTCAAGAGAATTCTTATAGCATGGCTAAAAGGATCAATTGAGTATTGACCCCATCTATTAATATAATTTAAATACATATATATTTAAACTTTTTCGCAAATAAATAAATATATATTTTATATTAATATATAATTCATTCATTTATTCATTTGAAATAGGTTAATAATATATTTTATTCACTTCATTTATGCATTCACCCTGTCTAAACCATTTTTATCTTCAATATGAAGTTGAAAAGGTTTTTTTTTGTATATTTTTAACCGGAACTACTATTATGCTTCCATCACACTGTGTGTATATAACTGTGTGCATTAGTCTCACTTAATTGTATAATATTCCATTCATCACTCATGGATTTTTTTTTAATATCTATAAAAAAATATATTAAATTTAAAAAATGATTAATTTATCAATATGAAATATAAATAAATTTTTCATTTTATTTTAAGTATGATTTTATGTGAAATTACTTTTATTGTAATTTTTACTCTTAAATTGAAATTAAATGATTAATCTGATTTCCTAAATACAAAATTTTAAATATTTAACTAACATTTACATAAATAATTTTAAAATTACCCAAATTGGAAGATGATTTATTGGTAAGTCGTTTAGATATTGTTGGATTACCATTGAAATAATCTAGGTATTATAACAGAAAACTTTACAATAATATATTAAATATTGAATTGAACCAGAGTATAACTGATTTTTGAAAATCAATATAATATGAATTTGAACAACTTAAAGTGGATATGAACAAATAATATCGAAAAGCACATTTTATTCAGATTCTGATATACTTGTGTTAATTATATTATTATAACGTACAACTGAGGAAACCCTATATTGCATGATAGTATTTTTAAGTATATGTTTAACCATTTTAATAATTTAAAAAATAAAACACAACCCTAAGGATATTTGAAATATTCAATACTTTATGCAATTCAAAATTATATAAATTTATTAATTAAAAAAAATCAGTTATTCATTAAAATGTACGTAGTAGAAAAATGAAAGAAAAAAAAATTGCAAAACAATAAAGACTGTAAAAAATAATCAATAAACAAGATGACTTACTATAAAATTGGTTAAAAGAATGCAGTGGTTGAGAACCAAAACATAATAAATGCAAAAATATAAATTTCAGATTTTACATTTCTATCAAATGAGATTTATGTGAATACTATTACTATCATATAATTAAAGGGTAATACAATTTTTTTCTAAAAAGTTTATTCTTTGCACTTATTATGCTTAACTGTCACTTATAGAAATATAGTTAATAGTAAAATATTAACTAAATTAATTAATAAACATTTATTAAAAAATATATTTTATTAGTTGTTATAGAGGTGGACAAGAATTGCCCATGCACTCAGACCTATAGGTCCATTGTACGTAATATTTTTATATTAATAAATGTATACATTTTAAAACAGCTAAATATAAAAAAAACATTGAAAGTTAACTGTTTAGATAATAAATTTATGTATTACTGTTTCAAAATTATACACCTACTATACCTAATAATGGTGAAGTTTCATAATCCCAAGTATACACATTGTTATTTAATACAGTCAAGTGTGATACCTACAATCATAAATAATTTATACTTAGTAAAAATAAACAATATTATTCCAAAAAAATTCAAAAAAAATATATATGTTTAAACTTAATGAACTTAATAGTAACCATTATTTACTTAATGTATTAATATATATTTATTTAAGTTAAATTTTTAACTTCTCAAAGTTAACACTAGTTTAAAATTCACAAAACCAAATAAATCAATTAATCTGCATAAATTAAATATTTAACAACAGTATTCAATAGAATTAAGAACTCGTATTACAAAATGTAAAGAAAATATTTTAATTTGGGGTGATTTAAATTACTATTAACATATATATCCATTAACCAACCTATACTAAAAACCCAGCACAGGGAGGTCGCGGTACAGTGGTGACGTGCATAGGTGGATCAAGTATAATGATATCTGACAGTGATTAAAATCACTATAAAAAAAAACGCTTCAATGCAAAGTTTAGATAGTGTTTAATTTTAAAAAATTGGTGGATTATTCCAAAAGCTACATGATCTGCTATTTCCTTATTAATATCCTGATTGAAAAAGTGAAAAACACTTTTCAATAAGTTATAGCATTATAAAGTTAAAAATGTAAAAAATAAAATCAAGAATTTTCATACAAAAATAGCATTCGGTAGCCATTTTCACCGTGAAGACAAAATAAAGTCCTAATTTTTTTTTTTTCATGATAAAGTACATAACATTATATTTAATTTAAGATAAATATAAAAGTGTCAGACTTTCCGGAACACTTTCAAAAGTTAAATTGAAAAAGTAAATTTTTTGTGAAAAAGTTGTCATTTTAATCCCCCCTGTGGGCTGGTAAAGGATTAAATTTAGAAAAAAAATATACCAAATGATAGGTAAAGACATTAAGCAACTATAAAAAAAAAATTATATTAATATGTTCATTTTTGAAAAAGTTATGGCAGTTTTTAGTAAAAAAATTTTCGAAAATTAGCGATTTTTAAATTTGTAATTTTTTTGGATATTTTCCCCATTACGGGGAACGGGGGAAATTTTTTAATTTATGAGGGTTATGTCTTCGATTAGATACGGTTTGTGATATTTTGACGTATTGTTGAAAGAAATCCGTATGGTGAGAGCTAAGAAAAAGTGGTAACAAACACAAAAAAACACATTATAGTAAAACCAATACTTTCTCAGCTTCGCATCGAAGCTAAAATAAATAATGGTTTGTTAAATAAACTAGGATATTATTTTGTTTAATACAACTCAAATAGTTAGAAATTGATAAAAATCTCTAATCAGAATATTGGCAACTGAATTAAATTCCTTATTCACTTATAGATAAAAATTTACACACCTTAGCAAATTCTAATTTTAGATAACAACATCCATAGTAAAATCCTGAAGCCATATTATTAGCTTCTATTGAGTAATCTTCTTTAGCAAATGTAGTTAAAGTTAAAGAAAATTTTACCAACAGATATCACTCATCTTACATAAATAAATAAATTAAAGTTTAAGTTTTATTAAAAAAAGGATATTCAACAAAAGCTTTTAGTTCTCCAAACTTGTGGAATATAACAATTCTATAAACTTGTCCAAATCTACAAAATATTGAGTAGAGAACATGCTGAAAAACATAAAAATAATTTCTTTGATAAATGTAATAAGAAAAATAATTATATATTTAAAAAGTTTTAGATAATTTAATTATTATAAATATAGGGAATTTTGGAAATCTTTTTGTTTCTTTAATTAACAATTTATACATTCTGTTGTACAGTTGTTGTGCATAATTTATGATTTATAATACACATGTCACTATATACAAAAGTAAAGGAACTTCTTGCTGGAGTATTTAAGCATGAATAGTAATAAAACCTAATAGAAAAACCAATAAGTAATGATATGAGAGAGAGAATATGATAGTATATAGTAGGAGTAATATAATAATAAATAGGCCTACATTCAAAAATTAATTTTTAATTTTGTTATTTCTTGACAAATTAGCTTATAACAAGTTAAGAAAATGTAAAATTAAAAAGAAAATATTTTTATGAACAAAATCTTTCTTTAACATATCTCTGTATTCAATATATAATTGAATTGATGATTGCGAAAACGACACGAGTCGCATTTTTGTGAAATTTAGATATTAGCAAAAACATATGCTAGTCGTCTGTTTTTATGTGTTGAGTGGAAAAACAAATTATGTATAATCAGTGCATAATATATTTCTACAAGTATTCATTTTTAAATAAGAATTTTATTCAGAATTATTTAAATTATACACTTTTTATCAATTATCCAGAAGTTTTAAAAAATTGACTCATGTCGTTTCTGCAATCATCGATTCAATTAAAAGTACTTTTAATAAGTATTGAACTAAACAACTTACTGTTGTCATTTTAATTTCCAGTTTGCTAATATTCAAAAAAATTACACGATTGGGACGATCTATCACCCTATTTTTTTATATAAAAAAAGTAATATAATAAAATGTTTGATTTTCTTGATGATTTAATTATCTTTAATACTTTTTATGTTTGAGGTTCTTGTAATGTTTAATACGATTGTTCCACTTCAAATGAATCTTATTATCTTTCTACAAACATAAACCAATAGAGACATAATATATATATATATATTAATAATAGAGACAAATATTCATACAAAATATAATAATCAAGTCAAGTATTTGGAAATTTTCTGCCCTCTGGTAAAAATTCTTCAGTCATATATAGGATTATGGACAATTACATATCCAGAATTCAAGCAAGTTTTCAAACAAATAATACAATAATACATTGTACACAATTTTCATCATCATTGATATAATGTAAAAATATTCTGCCTCCTAAAATTAACTTAAGAAGCCAGAGAGTAATAGAGTATTGTCTTCTCTAAATTTAATCACGATTAAAGTCAAATACATTATATTTTACAATGTATTTGTAAATAAAATAATAAAAAATATTTTAAACAAAACATTTGTTTTCATTAATAATAATTTTTTTTTTCATTTGATTTCAATTTAATCTGATAGTATAGAGTATTCATTCATTATGACCCACTTAATTATCCAAAAAATAAAAATATTAACAATTTTTCAAATATTTTTCTTTTAGTTATATGTTTTTTTTAATTTATCAATCTTAAAACTTTTCATGTTCTTCAATTATAAGGGTGTCAACATTATTTTTTCAAATAATAGAGAATAATTTTATTAGCAGTGTGATGTAATCTTTAGGTATACCCATTAATAAAAAATAATAATATAAATATTTTATTTTCTATAGAAGATTTCTATTAAAAATAGTTTTCTACTATAATTGGTTAATCTTAATATATCCAGAATAATTAAAAAAATAACTTGTTATTACACTGAACCCTTTAATTCATTTTTTTTATCGGAAAAATGGTCTTCATTTTCATTGCCTTCATCCCAATTACTTGAGATCGGCCACTCTTATCCTAAACTTCCACTTGAAATGACCTCCCACATCAGCCATCTACCACTTTTTTGGTCTTCCTCTATCTTTTCTTCCTTCATTCATTTCTATAACTAAACTTACAGCTTCCGATTGTTCTCTCCTCATAACATGACCAAACCAATTAAGTCTATTTTCTCTCATCTTATCCACAATTAACGCTACACCTGTACTTCCTCTTATATGCTCATTCCTTATCCTATCTTCTCCAGTCACTCCACTCATCCATCTAAGCATTCACATCTCTGCTTTACCTTCCTGTTATTATAGCTGGTCTGACTACAGTCTTAAGAACTTATCATTCATCTTCATTGGAATTCTTTTATAGCATTACTCACCAGGCGCTTCCCTTTCTTTTTTTTTTGGGAATCAATCTCTCAAAAGAGACAACTTTTTAAATAAACTTCTCAGAAAATTTGGCTTCACACTTTTATTTTCAGAAGATATACTATTATATAAAGTATATAGTGTATAGGAATATTGGTAAACTATGAAACTTATAAGATATTGAAAAATAGACAATTTAAAACTAGAGTTAGCAACCACATAGACATTAAGTAAAAGATTACTTAATGTCTATATACTGTGTTTAACAAAATTTTAACTTGTGGGTAATTTTTCTACAATAAATAAAATTACATTCATGTTTGCTAAAAGAATTTTTTCATAAATTCTTAATTTTTAATTCAAAATTGAAATACAATATTTGTTACATAAAATATACAGAAATAAGTTACCAAATATTTTGAACTATGATTAGAAATCCAAGTCGTCCATGAATTATTCCATGACATTTTAACCGAGCTTGTAACCAAAATTTAATTTAAAACAGCAATATATTAACTAAAAAATAATTTTATTAAAATTAAGAATTATTATAAACACATTTTGCATGTGACTTAATATTTTAAAATTCCTTGAAAAATACAAAATAATTATTTTAATAATTAATTTCAATTATCGTAGAATGTACATCCTAACAAGTAAAACATAATTTTCAATGATGCTTCAACGAGTCCAACAAATATTAAATCAAATTATTAAGAGATACAATTGAATAGAATGGTGAAATATTTTTATCTGTCTCATAATATCATAATTTTATATCAGTGTTATCATAATTATCAATTAAATAAATTACTTACCAGTACTATTTTGTAATATTTATTCTTCTCATAAGTTATAAATAGAATTTTCAAAGACTGTAATGTGGTTTCTAATCTAGATGAATTTTTGATAGAAAATCTTAATTTATATCATTCATAGCTTATCCAATTTATAATGAAGTTAGCATTTTTTGGTTGTTGTGTTTCTGTTAAATTGTTTAACGAAATTATATTATGTATCATGTAATATCGGACATTGTAATACTAGTGATGGGAAATATCGCATAGTAATTATAAAATGGTTGATAGTTGCCTAATATATTCGAATAGATTTAAAAACTATTCGATAGTTTTTAAAATAATGAAAGCTTATGTTAAAAATAAAATATTTGATTCTATAAAAACAATTCGAAATTTAATATCCTTCATTTATTCATAAAATAAGGAAAAATAGTTAAATAAAAATAAAAAAATTACTTATTTAATAGAGATAATTATTTATAACAAAATCTAAATCATTTTATTGCAGGAAACAAACTACTAATTAAAATTAAATATCGAAGTTAAAAGATATTAATAACAGTAAAATTATAAACCTTAAAGATTCGGATTTGTTGATATTCTTATTGAAAGGGTGGGTTTTTTTATGTAATTTTTTATAGAGCTATAATTTAATTAATGTAAATTAAAACATACATTTAGCCTTTAATGAAATATAAACAGAAAATTGTAAAATTCCATGAAACAACAATTTCAGCTAAAAGTAGAACAAAAAAGAAACAATAAAATAAAGAAAGTGGTGATTGATTATTGGTATCAAAAATTTAATAATAAATAGCATACATTTTATTAATGAATTCAATTAACAATACTAATGGGCGATAAATAACCCAACTGGTAGGTTTATTAATAGCAATAACTTTAGTTTACTATACACCATTAAACGGTGTATATTGCTCAAATTTTAAGCAATAGATTCAGTAGATGAAAAATATATTTTAGAAGCGGTAAAAAATTCATTGATTGTTTTTAATTCGATGGACAGATATTTGAGAAAATTAATACTGAAGTCAATCGAATCACTAGTAATAAGAGCGACAATTCAAGTAAAAGATTAGCTCATAAGCAAACTGGCAAAGTGGTGTTCATAGTGTTAAGACTGTTTTTAACACGCTTATATATATTAGTTTCACATGTATGTTGTTTGTTGTTTGTCATTTGTTGTTAGTTGTTTGTTGTAAGTTTGTAACTCCACGCGGCACGTGTTATTAGGTCGCGTATCCCGTCGTGTATGACCTTGAGACTAGACTGTCGTAACGCATTCACCCCACCCCGCTTACCACTCGCCATTAACACAATTTTCCTGTATAATTTTATTTTTGGTTTTCGTACCCGTATTTGCGTGCGTGTCATTAATTATATATATATATAACAAATTTTTATTGTGTTGACACGGCCCCGCGTCGTTTCGTTATACACAATGCCCCACGACTCGTGCTACCTTTATCAGCCGTCGCCCTATTTTATGAGTATTTGACTGGCCAACACCGCGCGTTACACGCCGCGGTGATAAGTCCAGCAAGTGCCGCACGGGCGACGACGTCCCGCCGCTAATGATACCGTAGTCTTCTTCCTGTTATCAAAGTGACAACGTCAACAAACCGATCTGCACTCGCGCACCGTCGTCATCTACGCTGCTAAACTTTTGACGCCCGAGGATCACGCCGGACATCGCGTCGTCGACGCCAGCGAAAGTGCCGCGATATTTTGCGAAGATTATATATTCTTACCATCGCCGCTAATATTAATATATGTATACATATATATATATTAATATTCATTTATATATCCCTACAGCCGACGCCGCCATATATGCCTCGCGCCCCGCCCGCCAACAAAACACAGCTATACCTCGTGCATAATACGTTTACGTACTTAAGTCGCTTTACATGTATATATATATATATATTCTATTTACTATTAAAACTTATATATTAGTACGCTTTATTCTCATTAAGAGATGTATAGTGTATTCATTCCGATTATGGGGGATGATTCCCGTATCGTCATTTTTCGTCACTACCTCCACGTTCCGGGAGTGGGTAATATACGCGCCTGCTGCTTTCCTTGGATGTGGTAGCCGTTTCTCTGACTCCCTCTCCGGAATCGAACCCTGATTTCCCGTTACCCATTACAACCATGATATTGATGGTAACTACTATCATAACATGAAACTAAAAAGTGAAAAATAAATATAGTTAAAAAAACACGCTTTTAAAGCACATCGAACTAAAAAGTTAAAAATAATTTTTAAAATAAGCTTAGAACAATAATGAACGAAAAATACTAGTATTATTGTGATAAAAGCGTGGGTGCTTTGTGCCATATTTTTTGTATATTGAGCGCCCGACGCTTTTTTCACAATAATTATAGTATTTTTTGTTCATTATTGTTTTAAGTTAATTTTAAAAATTATTTTTAACTTATTAGTTCGATGTGCTTTAAAAGCGTGTTTTTTAGTTTTTTAAGCTATATTTATTAACGCTCTGTCACTTAATTATACAGACATATGAAAGCAACGTTGCCAGTTTGTGTTATGAACTTATTTCTAATTACACGAAAGAACACAACCGAGTAACTATTGGTAAAGATAGGTTTTCTTTTAATTTAACATTTGGCCGCCAAGTCACGTTCCCTTATGCAGTATATTCGTTGTACTGAATAATGTACTATACATTTATTACACTTTAATTTTGTTTATCCAATTATTTGAATCTGTCTCTCTTTCTACTTGCCTCGATATACTTCAGTATTAATTTTCTGAAATATTTATCCAACGAATAAATTATATAATCAAAGAATTTGTCACCAATTTGTGTATAGTTTTCAATTTATTGCTCTATTATATTTATTACTATTTTTATCATAAGATGTTCCACAGCCGCGCATTTTCATCTACCTAATAATAAAAATACTAATAAATACTGAAGTTTTGATCCAATAGTTATTATTAGTGATGAGCATTTTGGAAAATTTTAAACTATCGAATAACTATTCGAATTGTTTTTATACAACCAAATAGTTTATTTTTAGCATAAACTATCGAATAGTTTTAAAAACTATTGGAATGGGCTACCGAATGATTTAAAAAAAATATTCCATTAGTTCTACCTATAATTTTTATTAAGTACACTTAATTATAATCAGAAGATAATTAACGAATACTTAAAATAAATAATTATACTATTATTAATTATAATAGTAAAAATTAGCGACGAACGGACATTTTCAAATATTTTAAACTATCGAATAACTATTCGAATTGTGTTTATACAACCCATTAGTTTATTTTTACCATAAACTATTAAATATTTTTACTATTCGAATATTTTTTGAATGACTATTCGATATTTCCCATCACTAGTTATTATCACCAGTCACTTTTTCATGACTTTTGATTTTTTAGACCATTTTCTATTTTACTAGTAAATTAAAAATTTATTTTGGTATCTAAAAATATTTAGTTAGTACTCTTATAAGGGATAAACGACTTAATAAATATTTAACCACTTTTATACTTAAAGATCAATAGACCTCAACAAAACGAAAAATATACTTCCAAAATTATTGTTACTTTAGGAAAAACTTTATGATCAATGATAAATCAATAACTCTGTATATCTATTTAAGTAACATATTTAATTTTTTTTTTTTTTGTAATATTACAAGCAATTTCTAATCAACATTTTTATATATTTATAAAGTTCAAAATTTTGAAAACAATTATTTATATTTATAAATTTTAAATTAAAAATTATGGAAATGCATAACCAATTAAATTATTATAAATTAGATAATATATATAATCTCAAATAAAATGTTAAAAGAAAGTTTAAAACTCCTATCAAACATAATAAACATATTTGCCAAAAAAAGAATAACTTTAATATGATAAAAGTGGTGCTTGAATATTTTGTACCAAAAATTGACTAGACTGATGTAATAAAAAAACAATTTTATAATTGCAATTTATTTACAATACTAATGGATAAAAAATATGAAATAGAAAAATAACTCATCCAGACGGTCTCTATTAATAGAAATAATTTTAGTATATTTAGGCGACAAATTGAAACAATCGTTTTCAGCATATGCAACAAATATTATAAAAACGGGGACAAATTCAAACAAAATGTAAGTTAACAAGCAAACTGACAACGTATGGAATTCATAAGCGTTTAAAATGACTTCAAAGCTTTGTCCCTTTAAATTATACAGACTAATAAAAGCAACGTTGCCAGTTTGCTTATGAACTAATTTCTACACAGCGCGCCGGAGAAAACACAAATGAGCGACTATTGAATAATGTAGCATTTTTTCTATCTTACCATTTGGCCGCCAAATCACGTTTTCTCATGCGGCATATTCACTTTATTGTACATTATTTACACTGTAATTTTATATCTGTTCGTGAAATTCTAAATAATCAATGAATTTGTCGACTACTCGTTGTGTAGTTTCAATTTATTGCGTTATCAATATTTGTGACTGAATATCACTATTTTTAACATTTCACGACCGCGCATTTCCATCTACCCATATATAAAAATAATAATAATTTCCTAAGTACTGGTCCACTAATTAATATCAATCAGTAATTTTTTTAAATTAGTCTATTTTCTATTTTACAAATAAATTAAAAATGTCTGTTGCCATATAATAAAATATAAAGTTTGTAACCTTATAAGGGATAAAAAACGAACCTACAAAGTATTTAATCAATTATAATTTAAGAGATAAATAGCACTCAACAAATCTTATAAGTATTTATAAGATTATTACTTTAGGAGAAATTTAGTGGTCAATGATAAATCAATCACTTTTTATAGCTAATTAAATACCATATGATATAAATATATGTACAGTGGCGGCTAGTGGTTAGGACGATGGGACGATCGCACCCCCTTCTAAAATTAATTAAAAGAAGAAAATTAATTGTATATTCTTAATTCTACATTTTTATTAAAAATGCAAATTTTTAAATAATAAAATAATTATAATACATTTGTCGTGCGCAAACATTAAAATTGTTTCCCTCAGTAAATGTGGGTATGCATTCAAATAACGAGCAGTGTTTAGTCGACCGACAAAGTCGTCGAGTAATATTCTGGGACGTATGTTATTAGTTAGTTGCTAATCGTGTGCGTGCGGGTAACGTTCAGCTGCTATCTTATGAACGGGTTTTGGATAACAAACAGCGTCGTCCGTACGGTAAAATATTAGTATATTACTATATTGGGTAATTTATTTTTAAAATTAACTACTTGTCATAATCGGTTGCTATAATAGTATAATCGCTATAATTATTTTCTACTGCGACCTTTAAAATAGTAATGTGTGTATTGTGTTTCATTTTATTATATTTAATTTGAGAATTTTTTATACTTATGACTAGTAGTATTATATTTAAAGTTGCAATTTATCACAAGCTCCACGAGATGCCACTGGATATATATGTATATACAGGGTGTTCAGTAAGTTAGGAAACGGGTTTCTATTGTTCTCATTGTTATAAACAATAAGAACAATAGAAACCCGTTTCCTGACTTACTGAACACTCTGTATATAATAAATATTTCTAGTAATATTTCACGCAATTTTCATTTAACAGTTCTATACATTTATTAAGTTCACAGTTTTGGAAACAATAATTTATATTTTTTAATTTTAAATAAAAAGTTATAACAGTACATAATCGATTAAATTAATATTAATTACAACATATATTTAGTTATTATCGAGGTGGACATAATAACAGGTCTGAGTGGCCCATGCACTCAGACCTGTTGGTACATTGTGTGCAACAACATATATATTTAGTCTTCAATAAAATGTAAAAAAGAAAATTTAAAACTTCCATCAAACATATCAACCATTTCTGCTAAAAATAGAATAAAACAATATTTACCTACTAAATAGACAATGGTTTAGCATTATTAAAACCAAATCAAGAAATTAATGTTACGATAAAATAAAAAAACCCAGCACAGGGGGGTCGCGGCACAGTGGTGACGTGACATAGTTGGATCAAGTATAATGATATCTGATAGTGATTAAAATCACTATCAAAAATAAACGCTTCGATGCAAATCTTTAGATAGTGTTTAATTTTAAAAAAATTGGTGTTTTATTCCAAAAGCTACTTGATCTGCTGGTTCCTTATTAATATCTCGATTAAGATAAAGTATGTCGAATGAAAAAGGGTTTATTAAAAAATATTATTTCTCATAAAAAAATTGTGTGGATCCATAAACTTTTCAATAAGTTATAGCATTATAAAGTTAAATATAATATAAATAATAAAATCGAGAATTTTCACACGAAAATAGCATTCGGTAGCCATTTTCGCCGTGAAGACAAGTCCAGAGGTCAAATTTTTTTTTTTCAAATTAAAGTATATTACATTAGCTTTAATTTAAGATATATATAAAAGTGTCAGACCTTCCGGAACATTTTCAAAAGTTAAGTTGAAAAAGTTAATTTTTTGTGAAAAAGTTGTCTTTTTAAATCCCCCCCTGTGGGCAGATAAAGGGTCAAATTTACAAAAAAAATATATCAAATGATAGGTAAAGACATCAAGCATCTATATAAAAAAAAATTATATTGATACGTTCATTTTTGAAAAAGTTACGGCATATTTTAGTAAAAAAAATTGAAAAAATTTCGAAAATTAGCGATTTTTAAATTTGTAAATTTTTTGGAGGTTTCCCCCATTTACGGGGAACGAGGGAATTTTTTTCAATTTTTAAGGGTAATGTCTTCGACTAGATACGATTTGTGATCTTTTGACGTATCGTTGAAAGAAATCCGTTCGGTGAGAGCTGAGAAAAAGTGGTAACAGACACAAAAAAAAAAAAAAAACACATCATAGTAAAACCAATACCTTCTCAGCTTCGCATCGAAGCTAAAATAATTATAATGTAGTATAAGTACTTGAATAATTTGTACTAAAAATTGTCATAGCCCTCATAATATAGATTTTATAAATGAATATGTTTACAATATAATGGGCGATAAATAACGAATAACAAGATAACTTTAAAGGATGGTCTATTAATAATAATTTTAGTTTATTTAAGAGACAAGTCTAACTACCGTTTTCAGCAGATGGAAATAATATTTTCAAAACTGTTGGTTCATTGATTATTCAAATCAACGGACAGATATTTGAGAAAATTAATACTGAAGTCAATTGAGCCACAAGTAGTAAGAGCGACAAATTGAAATATAAGATTAGCTCATAAGTAAACTAGCAACGTGGTGTTTATAAGCAAAAAACGTTGTCAACGATCTGTTCCTTCAAAATTCTCAAAGCAATGTTACCAGTTTGCTTATACAGCAGGCCACACAACTGACAAGTGAGTGAGTATTGAATAAGACGGGATTTTTCTATCTCACCATTTGCCGTCAAATTGCGTTCTCTCGTACAGTGTATTAACTATACTATTCCTTTATGATACTTTGTTCGGTCGGTTATTTGAATTTGTCGCTCTTACTTCTTGCCTCGGGTTTGAGTATTTTTACATTATTTCACTCTATCTCTCGTCACCTAAAAAATTTACTGATTTCCGAAGTACTGGTCTAAAAACTGTTATCGATTAGTCATTTTCTTAATTAGATTATTTTCTATTTTATAATCTAGTTCAATATATTGGTTGGCATTTAAAAAAAATAAAGTTAAGAAAGGGATAAAGGTGAACCTAAAAAGCATTTAACCATGAGTCAAAAAAAACATTATCTAGATTATTATTATTTTAGGATAAATTTAGTGGACAATGATAAATTAATTACCCTGCTAATAACAATATAATACCCTAAAGCTATCTAAAAATATTTTAGTATAATTTTACAAAATTTTTATTTAAAATTTTTATAAATTTATTAAATTATAAATTTTGTAAAAAATAATTAATATTTTTAAATTTTAATTTAAAAGTTTAAAAATAATTTTTAAAGTGCATGACTAATTTTAAGCAGTATCTGCAAATTAAAGGTATATATACACGAGGCGTTGATAATTAATGGGAAGAAGGTGGGATATAAACATAAACCCATTGGCCCGTCCTACTTCCCAATATTTAAAATTTAATTTGATTCCATAAAAAAATATTTTATTATAGATGATTGAGCCTCCACCACCTTTATTTTTTTCATGTAACAATTAATGTAATATTTAATTTGTTTTTTAAAGAGGGGAGGGTGGTTACATCTGATTTGCGAGGATCATTAAGACTCTAAAGATGTTGAATTCATTATTTTTGTGATTGAAGTCTGAGAATCCCAAAAATGGGTGTCATAGGGCAAATTTTATTAAAATCCTTCATCAAATCCTTTTAAGGATATTAAATACTTAAATAAATTTAACATATGTATTTATTTGTTACAAAATTTTTACAAAGCAATGAATTCTACCAAAAAAGTTCACTAAAAAGAATAAAATAAGTTATATTAAAATTAGAATCAAGTCAATTTATTAGGATAATAATTTACAATTGTTATTATTTTTGGAGGACGGTGTGGTCGAGTCGGTAACGCGACAGTGCTTGGCGTACACTGCCTTGGGTTCAAAATTCGGTCCCGGGCGGCTTCATTTAACGAACGATTTGTTTGATAGTTGGAGGCTCCAACTTGGAGCCACTATCCTCCTCTCTCCGGCGACGGACTAACCACCAATCTCGGAGCATAAATGGTTAAAAAAAACCTCCTCCTTTAAGAGAGGTCATTATATGGCCCTTAATTGAGCCGATAATAGCACTAAAAAAAAAGAAAATTATTTTTGGGGTCAGTACCAGTCCAGGTTCAAAAACATATATCAATAAAGTAACTTAGTACGAATGGGTATACATTTAATATTATAATCAACAACAAAACTGCAGACACGGTACAGAATAGAACAGTAAGGAGCGCAACAATTTATTTTAGTGGTGGTAAAAAATAGTAGTAGCAGAGATTTCAACACTGTTATTTTCAATATCAATAAATAGCTGCTAATCAAAACAATTAGTAGCAGTATAGTTTTATTTATCAATATTATTACTTTTCTGACTACATTGTTGTTAACTGCCACAAATTACTAAGTCAGATTTAACGTTTTATTTAATTGAATTGACAATTAGAACAACTATTATTATTTATTAACAACGTCAAACAATAACGATATATTTGTCATGCTGACAAAATACATTTTTAAATATTTTCGTAGAATACTCATGAACTTCAAGAAATCGAATTTTCGGATAGTTTTTTTTTGTTATATTAAAGTACATTGTATTAACTTTAATTTAATGTAGGTTTAAAGAAGACAAGTTTTTTCAAACATTATCAAAAATTGAAAGAAAAAAAAATTAGTATGATGATTTTATCCCTTCGTATGTTAAAATTTAAAAAGCATTTTATATAACTGAATTTTTTTTTTAGATTTATGTATCATCCAAATAAATATGTTTTATGCTCTTTTGACGTATAGTTGAGCAAAATTAGTCTAGTAGGAACTGAATAATTGCGTAAACGGACACACAAAAAAAATTATTAATAATAACAGAGTATAACCAATAGCCTCTTAGCTAATAACACATCGAAGCTAATAGTTATAAAAATTAGCAGTTTCATCATTTCTTTAAAAAATATCAGTAGCTATTGTTTTTGACTTCTACTTCAAAACACCAATAGCATAAGAAGATGCTACTAAAATAAATAAAATTTTATCACCACTAATTTTTTATAAATAAATTCGAAAATTTTGATACCAACAGTCAACGACGTCTGCCCTTCACATTTACAAGTGTTCGGGTCACTACTCAGTTATGTTACCGTTCCACCATCTCAGTATATGACCGCCACTGAACGCCGTGTTGTTTAAGACGTTTGCTGTCTTGTTGATTATGAAACACGTTTGTTACTTTGGCTGCCACCGACTCCAAAAATATTAAAAATGTATATTATTATTCTTATAAATTGATTTTATACTAATTCTAGTCTGATTTATTTTATTATTTTTAGTGATTTTTTGCATTGCAGATTTATTGGTCGGTTTTTTTTATTTTTTAGTGTATATTTTTAATTATTAAGTATTACTTAATAATTAAACATACATAAATTTAATATACCATGTTAAATATTGAATCATTAACATATATTTATAGTGTATGGTAATTTTATTATTTATAAAATAAATCTTTAATTTCAATAATTTGGCTATACGACTAGATAATTTGCACAAAAAATATCTACAACACAGATTAGTTATGTGCCTGATTTAAAATTTGAATTCAATTTTTTTTGTTATAACAAGATTATTTTCAAAAAAATATAAACAATGACCATTATGTGTTTTTACTGAGAATCATACTCGCTGATAGAAGTTCATTCTATGCTATTATAATAGCTATAATACTGTAGAAAGTTAAAATAAGTAGCAAAAAAAGAATACTTTTTTGCTTCCTAATTACAAAATTATTATTAATATTATTGTTATTAATTTATAATATATAATTCAATATAAATAAAATTGGAAAAAAATTTTATTTCATTATAATCTTTGAAAGTTTTAATATTAGAATTTGTATTTAGTTAACGTAAGGTCCAACTTAAAATTTTCCATAGTACTATTTTTTTTTTGGAAGTTTAATATTTAGTTTAATTATATTTTTAAACTTGTGACTTCAAAAATTTTTTTGTATAACTTACAGTTTCTCCCTCTTCTTCCTCGCCTTAATCTCAACTACATTTGGGTCGTCCACCCTTACAGTTTCTATTATTGGAATTATTATTATAATTATTGAATTTTAATTGAATTTTGTAAATTTGAAAAAATAAAATCCAGTAGGTCTATTGTATGTCACACTAGAATATAGTAAATTAAAAATTTAAATATTAATTAAAAACTTTAAAGTTTTATTATTTTTTTGTATTCAGAATCGACATTCAAATTTATTAAAAACAATTGATCATATTGAGAAGAGAAAAAGACTTTAAAGAGATGTAATGATGGATCACTGAAAAACAGTATTGTTAATGCTTCAAAACATCTTGAAGAAAAATAAATAAATCAGTCAGTTTTGGAGGAATTTTTAAGCAAAAAAAATTTTACTAATCAAGTAAGAATATGCATAGTACTTTTTTATTTTAATAACATTTATTAAATTGGGGCTTAATCGAAATTACTTACATAATACATGATTTTATGTATTGGTGTCCCCACATATTTAATGTTTAATGTTCTAGTTAAAACAATTTCAAAACTGCAATTTTATTAGCTTATATCAAAAAACTATTATCATACGTTTTTGTAAAAATTATTCTTTGTTATTAATGTTATATAATTTTGATTTCAGGTGCTCTAGATCAATTACGCAACAATTTATTATAAGTGTTAATTTTCCATTTAGAATAATTGAAAATCCTGTTTTAAAGGAAATAATTGAATGAGATTTCCCCAACAGAAAACTTATGTATCGGCCTACTTAAATGAAAATTATTGAGAATGGCTTTCATAAATTATCCTTCAAAATAAAATCTGAGATATTTAAATGTGATCATATTGCAATGACTGCAGATGGTTGTTAAATTTTTAAAAAGTAAATAATAGATTTACTTTTATTTGTATAGGTACCTAATCAAGAGATTTCATTGTTAAATAAGAGATATTTTTTGTTAGATTGTACATTGGAGTAATAGTCATATAGATCAAAAAGAATTTACTTAGAACTACTAGTCTTTTAACACTAAGAAGACTAGAAGGGTCACATACATATGATATCTTAGCTAAATCTATAAATGAAGTATACACACAGTTTGAAATTTCGGATTAATTTTATTGTACTACATATTATGGTTCTAATTTTGTAAAATGTTTTAAGTAAGATCTATTCAAATTAATATAATTAATAACTATAAAATTATTTATGTTGGTATTGCTCATATCTTTAATTTATATGACATACATCTAAAAGTATTAATTTTTTCATTTATATTAATGAAAAATCATTAATTTCTCATTAAATTAGTTCGAATTTAACCCTTATTATATTTTTTAGAATATTAGTCATGTACTTGATGAAAATAATGAAATTTCTAATCAGTTGCTTGTGAACAATTCAGTAGAAGTAGATGATAAAATAGAAGAAATTGATGTCGTAAATAGGAGCTATGTTACTAAAATCATAGATTTTTTGCACACGCAATTAATTTGATAGCAACATTGGTAAATATAAATGAATATAGATGGATACCATCCATTATAAATTTAAAAGGTAACATTTTAGATCAAATATTTTATTTGGTTATAAACCATTTCTGTATAATACTCTAAAAAATCTTTGTGTATTGCTGCTTTTAAAAAACAGTCCAAAATCACTTTTGTCAAGTCAACTGCTTTGTAGAACAAACAAGAGAACTCGACCAAGTTAGCTGATTTAATCAAATAAAATCTTGGTGTTTATTTAATAACACCCTACGAGACATGTTGGAATATGATGCAGTGGTGTTGCTTAATAAATTAATTAAAAATAATGAACTTCAATTTAGAATTATTATGGATGAATTGGCTATTATGATTATATTTCATTGTATATATATATATATATATTATATTTTTTCAAATTTAATAGATATGAGATTGAATTTTTAAATCAATGTCAAAAAATAATGGGACTAATTTCTGTAAGCCTTGATTTACTGTAAGGTGATACTAATTTATATTTTGGTAATCTCTTACATACTATTGAAATAAATAAATATATATATAAAAATACATAAATATAGACCAATGACATTTGATCACACAATTCCTAATTATATGTAAGATCTGGTAACTATTATACTATTAATTGATATGTAATAACAATAACTATAAATCAATATAATTTTAAGAGAATTTATCTCAAAACAATATTTGTTGTTTATGTAGTGAAAAATATATATCAGTCAAGTACATTTACTATTTTACCATTAATTATTTTTAGTTTAACTTATTTTAGCTAAGTATCTCATGTTCCTACATATTTAAATTTATATATTAAATTAAATATTCATTGTTTTATTCTAAATATTTATATTTTTATATACTTATAAGTGTAATAAAAACAAACATCGTTAATATTAATACTTAAATGTTACTCTCTTTTTTTAGGTATGAAAACAAAGTTTTCTAATTCTTAGATGAACAATTTTTTAATTACTGCTATTGTCTGCCACCTACAATTTAAAATTGTCTGGATTAAAAATGAAGTAAAAAAACAAATGACCACTGAGTATTTTACAAATGCCTGTTATGAATTTTACCAAAATATTTGTGAAAATGATTCTACAGATTATAGCCAAAGTCATGATAATTTATTGAGATTCTTTACCGATTGACAGATTCTAGGGTACATCTACGGCAAATCATTAAAATGTTTACATAATTTACCCACAATTAAAAAAGTAAGATTAATTGGATACTTATTAATTGAAATATATTTAAGTAAATTTTACTAAAAAATTTGTACTTTGTTTTCAGTTTTTCATTAAACACAACATTGCTCTATCAAACATTGCATAATTTGAGAGAGTTTTTAGTGTTGTTGGTGCTACAATCACTAAAAAAAGGACTAACATGTCTAATAAACAATTTGAATAAATAATATTTTTTAAGTGTAACCAACAATTTTTTTATTTAAAAAAATTAACTTCAAATTTCAAATTTTTTTTTTTTCATTTGAAGATTATTTTAAATACATAGTTATTAATAGTACTTGGGTGGTTATTTAAGTATTATTTTTGGAAATTTGTTGAGTAATTACTTAAATATATTTTAAAAGTATTTTTTACAACACTGCATATCAGATTAATTTTAACATATCTAATATTTAAAAATAAAAATAAACCTTTGCATACAAAAATTTAATTACATTTTCTGAATATTACCAATTATAAACAAGATCACCTATATAAATTTGTACATTATTAGTTTTGAAATTATGCATGTCAACTGATCCTCCCTTTATTTTAATATTTTGGATAATTATCCAGTTACCACTTAGCAAATTTACTTGATCTTTAAAATCGTAAATACCATAAGTATTTGCGATTTTAAATACTTACGTGGTTAATTTTCGATGTATTGATGAAATGTCGTATTGATGTAACTTTATCAAAGATTTGAATAGAAAACAGGAACAATTAAAAAATTTAACAAAAGACATAAGTAAAAACCCAGTACAGGGGTGTCACGGCAAAGTGGTGACGTGGCATAGCTGGATCAAGTACTATGATATCTGACAGTGATTAAAATCACTATAAAAAAAAAATGCTTCGATACAAATCTTTAGTGTTTAATTTTAAAAAATTGGTGTATTATTCCAAAAGCTACATAATCTGCTAGTTCCTCATTAATATCCTGATTAAGATAAAGTATGTCAAATGAAAGAGGGATATAAATATTATTTATCATCATATTTTATAGTTTCAAATAAATAAATAAAAAAGGGATGGTCTAAATTTTAGACTTTAAAAGACACTCTATCTACCACAGACTTCCAAAAAATTTCAGAATATTTCAAAAAGTTCCAGAAAATTATAATAAATATAATAAGATTTGGTGGGGTGGGTTAATTATATGTAATATAATAAGTACCGATGTATGTGCTATGAAGGCGTCTGCTGCGCCTTGTCGTTCACTTCCACTATTTTTCAATTTAGAACTACTCGTATATTGTTAATATAATAATTACCAACGTGTAAGTCATTGCCCCTCCGCTGCAACGTATTCGCTTCACTGTTGCATGATGACGACCGTCCGACCATTATTAAATACAAATTTAGAGCTACCCGTATATTATCAACAGGTAATGTGTATAATTATTGGCAATGCCAATTTGTATCTAAAGGGCATTACATAGGTTTTAATAAGTATACTTATTTAGTTACATATGTTAAATTTTTCTTACTAGAATTTATAAGTAAAAATTTTTATTAGAATTCAGATTTGTGTAAGATCCAATACTTTTTTTAAACAATAGATTTTTAAAATTTGTTTATTTAATACAGTTATTTGCACCATTATTGCGCGTTTGCATTGCAGTCCGACTTTCTCGAAATTTCTATTTGGAGTTACCCGTGTAGTCATGTCACTTCCCCACAACCACCTGTTATTTATTCCGATAACTATTGCTGTAATAATTGTCGGAATAAATGTATTCAGAGGATTTTTTTGCAATGTCAAAGTACATTAATTTCTGACATTCATTATCAGCTAGTAGTAATACCCGTAACCCCACTCATAAAGTTAAAACATAATATGTATTAACAAATATTATTTGTTATCTAGTAAATTCTCTATACTGTTAATGTAAAAATGTCTATAAATAACTAGCATGAAAATTTAAATTATTCTTTTTTATTGAAAATTGGAATTTTCCAGTAAATGTAAATTTATTGATATTGTTTAAAATTTATTTAGATATTGTAGGAGGATCTAATTCAGACATTTCCTTTGTTATAAAAAATGCTGTCGACAACTTGTTACAATAGGTTTAAACAATTCAGTGGTGTTTATTCACTAATAGTGTTCATTCACTGGTGGTGTTATTTTAGGAATGGATCATTATTTTTCATTTCAAGAAGAGCTAAAATTACACTCGTTAATTTTACACTTTCTAATTTATAAATAGAAAAGGAAAATTTTTTTGAAAAATGCGTTTTAGATATTTAATTTCTAGAGTATTGCTTATAAATAGTATATCGATATCTTGGTAAATTTTTCCAAATTCATTATTGATTAAATTTTTTTGTAGACCAGTGCAATATAATAATATATTATTTAAACTTATTTCAGATCAAAATATATAAAATTTAAACTGAAAATAATTAACATCCATCAAATATTACATTCTTAAAACATTCTTTTGTGTGGCTGAAACAATTGCCAAAATGATGGCAATTGATTCAGCAATGGCGACTTGTGGAGGGGCTATGTAAGTATTCTTAATCTCCATCCACAGGACCGCAAATGTATAATGATACATCTCAAAAACTAAATTACATAAATGAATATTGCAAACGCAGATTATATTACAGTATGATAACTACATTGAGCTATCATTTAGTTAATAGTAATGTTAGATAAAAATAACAATTTCAACTTCAATTTGACAACGATTTAGATTTTAATGATTTGATATATCATAATATAAAATTTATCATAATTCAATGTAATTTTTTGTGATTTTTCAAATTTTATGTCACTATGGCAAGATATTATACTATTCTCGTAGACAAATTTCAATTAGTTAGTATCTAATAACTAGCAATTGTCATTTTTCGAAAATTTAACAGTTTTGTAAATATTTGTACTGAGAGGATAGACTCTCGTTTTTTAAAAATAATTTTTAAAGAAATTATCAGATTATATAATAAAAATTGATCACTTGTGGCTAATTAATTAAGTAAAATTAAAACTATATTAAAAATATTATTAATTTAAAAAACTAAAAAATATTAAACTCAAAGCCACAAAATCAGATTAATATCAGATTATTTTAAACTAACAACAGCGTTGAACGTCATAAAACGACAATGGATCGTGTCAAATCAAAAGGGTAGATTTTTCAAATTTCCAAAATTACAATTTTAGTTGTAGGTACTCTACAACTGTAAATCGTCGAAAAAAACTATATTAGGAAAAATATTTATAGAGTGTGTGTGTCCTGATAACAGCGCTATATGCAAACTTTAAAGTGATACAACTTTTTAGCTTATTGTCAATATTTTATTACTCAAAAAAATTAATTAAAAACAAGTTGTTTTAATAAGTAAACAAATAATTTTTATTTTAAATTTTGTTTTTGCTATAAGAAAACTGCTTGAACTTTTTTATCATAGACTGAAGATATTATAGCCCTTAGTTCATCATTTTTCATTTGTTCAGCTTGAAGACGTTTTTCTAAAGATAATTTATTTACTCTTTCACTATCATAACTTTTTATTATGTTTAGTAAATCTCTTTTTTCTTTTCGCAACATAGCCATTCTAATTTTTAACCTATTCACATGCTGTTTAGATTCCTCCAGTTCATATTGAACCACCGAAAATCTAGGATATGTACTGTAGGGTAATTGTGTACACTGATCTTTATCAATACTTTGGCCATTTAAAATTTGTTTGGCGCAAGCAATTATCCATTCTCTTTCGTCACATTCTAATTTATTGACACTTTTTAATACTGTACTCGCATAAACAATTATATCTTCAAGTTTCTGAAATTTTTCTGCGTCTGCGATATTTTTCAAACATAGAGAATATGCTTGATTAGTATACATGATTTGTAATATGTTGTGCCATAGCTGTTCATCAGTCACACTTAAATCAAGTACTGTAGTTTTATCTTCATGCTTAATGATTTCACGGGTATCATTATTTACCAATAAACCAGATTGTTTGTTCACCTCAAACGATTGTTCCGTATTTTCCTGTTTTACCTTTACTCATAGATATAAAATATTTTAAGAAATGTAGACCTATATAATATATCTATTAAGCAATAATTATTTAAATTAATGTTATAAAATTAGATGACTTACAAAATCACCATCTGTATCCAGAGATTTTTTGGTGGAATCTAATGATTCAGTTTCTGTAGAATTTATCCTAAAATCTTTTATTTTGTATGATTTTTGGTTTGTAACATTAAAATTAGTATTGGTAGCATTATTATTGAGTTTTTTAATTAAAGCCTTAACAGACGGACTATTTTCAACAATTACATCGACACTCTTGTGATGAAAATCTTCAATATCACCACAACTTTTGTATGATAGAGTAGAATTTGATTCATTTGACCGTTTCGCAATTACAGTATTTAATTCAATATAGGGTGCTGATTTAACTTCCCCAAATTGTTTTAAAATTGACATAATATAAAAATCGAATTTTTCAGTTAAAATTTTGAATAAGAATATATCAAGTAATTAAAAGTTAAGTCCAAACATCATTACAGTTAATTGAAAAAAATTATACAAAAATAAGAACCCAATTTTATGACCAATACATTTTTGTTTTTAATCGTTTGTAGCTATGGTTATTTATAGTCCTACAAATTGTTTATATATTCATCCATATTCTAAAATGTATACTTATTTTGTTTTACAAATTGTATTTTAAGCACTTAGAATGCAAGAGGAATGAGTAATATTTTTATGAAAATAATATTAAATTGTTCAGTTGGATTGAATATAATTAGTTCTGTTTGATACAAATATCATAGATCTATTTTGTTGTTCTTACCGAGATTATAGTTTTGGGGTATTAGGAGGGTTCACATCCACCCAGAAAGAAGAATATTTATATGCTACCATCAGTGCTCGAATTGGGGGGGGGGGGGCGCAGGGGG